GTATATATACCAATTAATTATATGTTTTTAAACATCCTTTAATGCTCGTTTATTGCCTTGTTTTTTCCATTTAATATTCATTCTAAATTTTATTGTAATAGCTCCACGGGAATTACCTTCGCCATCGCCATCTTCATCGTCGGATTCTTCGGATTTAAATCGCAACGAATATTCACCGGTCAGGACAAAACGTCACGCCGTTGGTCGCACGATAGATATAGTCTCGCCCATCGAGTCCTGGGAGGACAATTGGTTGTTTCAGAAGAAAAAGACTTCCCGGTCGCAGCCGGACGCGGTCGCTATGTTGGTCCCGAGCTCTAACGCGTATTACAAGGCTCTGATCGGCGACCGGGATGCCGAGGACACGTCCGACCTATCCGAATGCTCCTCTACAAAATCTGACGAAGAGATCGAAAAGGAACTGATGGAGGCGATCAACAACGTGATTCCGAGGACCCCCAAGATCTCCGAATGCGACGGGACAAATAATCAAACAAAAAGCAATCAGGAAGGAGCAACCACGACGCAACAATTCGAAAAGGATGAGGTTGATACCTGCCAAGCGAAAACTGAAAATAACGTGACTATTTCCGAGTGTCGAGGCGGAAAGAATCACGAAGGACTCTTGAAATCTTCGGAAATTTCGGAGAAGAAAATAAACGAACGTAAAGATGACGAAAGCAATCGAAATGAAAGTTTATTTGCGTTGACAACGGTGGCAAAAGAAGGAGACAAAACCAAAGAGAAGCATAAGGATACAGTCGAGCGCGGCGAAAGGACGATTGCGACCGCGGTGGAAAGTTCTGCGCAAAAGGAAGTAAAGGTGCAATCCGAGAAATCAAGTGAGAGGAGCGATCGAGGGGAAAACGTTGCCGACGAAAATGAAGAGCAACAAGAGAGCGAATATACCGAACATTACGACACGGCAATCCAGAGACATTTAGACAGTTTGACGAAAGTCGAGGTTTGCTCTGGAGAGAGCGAGACCATCGATGAAACGAGAAAAACGACGGACGAACAGCCCGGAAAATTGGAGAACAATTCGATCAAAGAACTAAAAAGGTATAATAGGAATCTCGAAATATCTTTTCTATTATCTATGATTTTATGACTTTAAGGTAAAAGAATAGAATTATAGCTCATGTATTTTAAACTTGTTTTAAATTAAATTTACATACATGTAAAATATATTATTTAAATTTATCTTTATCTGTGATTTCTATTCTTTTAATGTTTGTTTTTGTATATTTGTAAGGATATATAGTAAATATGAATGAAGCGAAACTCCGCTCAGGTTTCGAAATAAACGCGTAATAAGCGATAATGATAGTTCGAGTTTCCTACGCAACTCGGTATTGCATGAGTTCCGTATCCTGCTGCATAATTCTTTTCATAGTTTCGTCGCAACACGGTATGCCTCTCTCATAATTCTTTTTCAACTTTATGCAGCGAACGTTCAGAAACCGGAGTCCAATTGTCTTATGCAACGATCGATGAGAATCACGCCGACGTGATGAGCGAAAATGATCCATTAAGCGCCCCTCCACGACCAGGTAACTTTACTCTTGTCTCTCGACGATAAAAAAACATACATACGCAATATACATCACGCGCTGAAATTCCTCATATATCTTCGTATTTTTTGGTTTTATAAAAGGACAAAAGAAATTCCACTTTACCTTGCTGATGTAAAATTATGTACAAAATAATTTACTAATATTAAATATAAATTTTATATAGAGAGAATAATACATATACATACATACACGAAGAAATTATTATATAATATAATATGTAATAAAAAATCAAGCATGTGTAAGAGAAGTAAAAATTTTATAACTTCAAAAAGTCACATAAAGCGAGGGATGGTATATTAATTGCATTTGTTTCTTTAAAGTATAAAAAACAAAATCTTAATCAATTCTCCTTCAAACAAAATTTCAATGTCCTGCAATAAAAAGCGAAAAGATTCATGAATATAATGAAATATTCATGTATCATGATAAGCATATCGCGGACATGACGGTGAATAAATGTATTGGACAGGCACAATAGCGGAACGCGAGCACAAAAAGTGGGAAAATGCGCCGCCGATCGAAAACAATCCCTACAGCGAGGAGAGCATACGAAAGCGATGCTTGGAGAGACAATATTCGAGAAATTCGGACATGCCAGGGTAAGAGAATCACGCATGAGAAATTTCACGAACATCTTATTGTAGCCGCGAAGCTCTTAGCTTGATTTTTCATTCTGTTTAGAGCCCATTATGAGTTAACGAAGCTGAACGAAGTGAATCTGGAGACGCTCCTGACAGCCAGTCGACCGGACATTAAACGGTAACTTTCATTAATTTTTTCGAAATAATATAAGACAATACATTTAAAAAATTAAACAAATTATTTCTCTTAACTTTCTCTCTAAAGTTTTTGGCTAAAAGTTTACCTGAAATATTAAATAATTAAGAAAGGCAGAAATAAAAAAAGAATCACAAGTGCTGACAATTCTTCAATGTAGAGCTCCGTGACGCTAATGACTCGATTTTTCTGTATAGATTCGGCAGGGATTACTACATCAACCAATCCAAGATGGCTAGTGGGGAACGGCAGGAACAGGCTAAATCGGCGATGTCCTCGATGTCGAGCAGACCCAGCAGCTCGCTGTCCCAGCGATCGAGCTGCGCCGGCGACGAGCAACACGAACGACAGGTGAGTCATGACGAGCTCGAGCAATTCGAAGCCGCTTCGCTGCGCGGCAGCCTTCCTAGACGATGCTGCCGCGACCCCCGCGCCAGTCCGCACTTCGCGATCAACCCTCTCCTGCATCTGGAGTCCGCGAGCGATCGATCGCGCCACGGTGACGGCGAGCGAGCCGAGAATCTCGTAGGAAACGACGTACGAATGATGTACCCCGAGGAAAGGGAAAGCACGAGAGAAGACGCGAGAGATGATCGAGGATTTAAGAATTCCGTGGAGTCGAATGTAGGAGCTATTTTTGAGAGAGAGGAGGACAATTACATTCTGGCAGAAAACCTGGAGGTCGGCACGGACTCTCGGAAGTCAGTACCGACAGACTGGAATCAGCCTTGGGACGCAGATCGCGAGGGCGAAGAGCCGATAGTACCGCGGTACGACAATCGCGCGGGTTCACCAGGCGATGGAGACGATCGCGACCCGGGCGACCACGACTCCGGGATGTGCTCGATCGGCTCTCGCGATTCGGAGAGCAGCGAACGCGATCGCTGGCGACGGTTGTATCGGGTGGCGGATAACGATCGTCCGGGCGATAACGGGCAAATATCGTCGGTCGGTGGCAGGAAGTTCTGGACCACCAGCGGATACAAATACCATACGTTCGGTGGCATCAGATTCCGGCCGAGGAAGACGGAGGAACTCGACGATGATTTCGAGGACGAATCGGCCTCGCTGGAGGATGATCGCGATCCGTTCGACGATCGCAGCCCGGAGTTTGCGAGATTGAAGTTTCAGACCTTCGGCGGAATCAAGAGGAGTAGGAAGATCGACAGCAGAAGGATTCCGAACTACAGGAGGATCCGACTGAGACCGATTCTATCAGAAGCTGCGTCTGTTATTCCCGGCACTGAAGACGGCCGCGATTTCGTCGAAACGGAAAAATCGGCAAACCTCAAAATACACTGTAACGTTAATTCAGGAAGTTGCGATCAGCCGACAAACTTGAATCGTTCTACGAGTTTCGAAGGATTCGCTAGCTTCGAACACTCGACGAGCTCAACTTTTGAGGAAAGCGACTGGCAGGACGAGAAAAACGACGTTACGAATGATCGGTTATCTACGGGATACGCTCAAATTGGACGCAACAGAAATCGAACGAGTGCTTTCAGAATGAGCTCTATGACGAAACGCAGGAATCTAATTCGTAAGAAGAACATAAATTCACCTTCCGTCTGGTCTTTGCCGAACGAGAACGATGAGTGGCAGGATGAGATCGATTGTGCCTCCGACGAAATTATAATGAACAAGTTCCTGAAGGATGTCTCGCGAAGACGGAAAGCGTGCGCGTTCAACGATGACAATGTCGCAGCGCGAGGAAGAGGAACAAGACCTGAAAGGCATCGGGAAGTCCTTGAAGACGTTAACAATGGAAAGTTAGGAAAATCGGTAACCAGGAATGTTGAAAGGAATCTAGAAAGCTCGGAGGAATCTCGGCAAGAAGGGAAAGGCGATGATAAGGGACGATGCAAGAAGTTGTATGTGAGAAGTTTGACCGACGTCACGATATGGTGATGATAAGGAGAAAGGCTGACTTAAAAATGGAATAAGAAGAGAATGTACACGATGCTAGTAATTGTGACATGATTGCCATGAAGTAATGTCGTAAAAAAAATACGAAGTATTTCAACAGAAATAATTTTAGAGATATTTACAGTCATATTATCTCAAATTCTCTTATTTTATTTCTCTAAAATTCTTATCACGATTGATAAGAGAAAGTAAGAGATAACGTGCTTCAAAATGAATTGATCATTATGGGTATCACTATTGTGTTTCAAATGAAGTGAAGAGGAAACGACATTCTACATATTCTGAGACGACGCGAATCTTAGAAATTCAGAATGCGAGCGATATAATTGGTGGATTTAGTTAACGGTTAGAGATTCATTAAGAATTATTTGATAATTGTTATATAAATATATAGTTAATGTAATTTTTTTCCGGTGCAATAATGTACCTGAGAGAATGCGAATGCATTCGTGCTAATATCGTAACTCCGTGGCCATATTCTTCGAAATAATATAGTGCCATGGCGCGATGCGCTAATATTAAGTGTCATATACAGGATTAATGATTGAAAGTCCATATTTATACAACGTTAAGTGGTTTGCAAGTGGCAAATAAATACGGGTGCATAAAAATCTAAAATGTGTATCACGATAATGCTGACCTCCCGCTCCTTAACAGATTTCTGATTAATTATCTGCATTTCGTTACGTTTATTACGCGAGATCGTTCTGAATCAAAAACAAAACGCAAAAAGCAAAACTAATAAATAAATTTTTGCATGTAAATTTCTAATAATTGACTTACATAATCAGAATTAATATTTATCATTACTGTTATTTATTACTGTTATTATAATATAAAAAGTACACAAAATGATCTCATCAGAAGGTATTTACAAAAATATATAATTATTTATTTAATTAGATAATTAATTTGCATGAAAAAACTTATATTTATATATATTTTCTAGATGATTTTTTTCATGTAAATTATACTTGATTGTTCAATAGAGATTTAAAATTGTCGAAATTCTCGAAGAAGACATTTATCTAACATAATCCTGTACATATTTTATATTGATACGAAGACCTCAACTAATTTAATTGACCAATCAAAAAATTGATCATATTTTCTGCATGAAACTTACAGGTGATGGTTGCTACTTAATATTAATTTCAATTTCTAAAAATTATTGCCCAGGAGTTTACAACCCATGTGCGAGTCCATTTTAGACTTCATCTTTGACGTCAAATATCAAAAAGTATTTAAACTACATATTATTTATATTATGTTATTAGTGTAATAGCTTATTCTTAATTTTTTCATATCTCGCATATATTTAAAAGAGTAACGCAAGATTTTTAGATTAGATTTTAATTTTTTCAGTATAATGGAAAATGACGACTATGCGGGCACGAATAAATTATTTTTGAGAATTGTATTACAAAAGGAGCCTCATTGTCCTAGAAGTTGTAAATGATAATTATGTATTAAAACATTAATAAGATAAAATTTAGAATTATTAGATGAGACGATACAAAATAGTTCTGCGTAAATTTCACGCAATTAAAGACATGCCCGTATATAAAAACATTTCGAAATTAAGGAAAAGATCGAGTGTGTTAGTATGTAAATTTCACTTTTGTCTATTTCTCTTAAAGTAAAGGTGTGAATCCAAAATATATTTTCAATAGACAATTGAACCCGAGTTATTTACCACTCGAAATGCACGCATCACGCTTGTACAAATTGCACAAAGAATGCAATCTAATTAGCATCTACACGTTCTCGATGTATCTCGTGAGATACTGCTCGATTCGCATTAACACAACGAAATCAATTCCGCAATTACGAGCTGCAAAAGAGAATATTTTAATCGGTAAGTACCACCTATTTATATGCGTGTGCGATGACTAACAAATAATTATATCTATGCGCTCGTCTGTAAACCTTAATATTTCTCGTTTGTTACTTATTTCCCGCTAATTTCCCTCAACTAAACAGCAATTAATATACATATATATTACTTGTGTTACTTGCAAAATTTTGTATATTTAATATATAATTCTTTTAAACCTGTACTAACTGTAATGAACTGATATCGGGAGATTCGTTAAATCTGACATGTTTTATAGATATTCACAAATTCCCTCATCTCACCAAGAAATGCTTTACAGTAATAATTGCAAATGATACTGTTAATCTTTATGTGTAATCACATTAACAAATAATATTGCACAATTAATATCTGGAACATAGGTTACACAAATACATTATCAAGAAAGCTTTTTGATCGCACGACGATAATAATACGGATATGCATGGCTGAACTTAAAACATATTAGTCCGCGCTTCTCTTCCAAAATTTAAATTTATGTAAATAAGTAACGCCCAAAACTTTGGTATTCTCCAAACGTGGCGCGGTAAATTGTTAATGATACTTTTTTCTCAATGACACTCAAAAAGTTCAAAAATCTTTTTATCAAAATCAGGTATTCACACATTTGATATTGAGAGCTGAAACTTGCACGTGACAAAAAAAAAAACAGAAAAAATCTATTAATAAAATTGCGACTGGTATGTATTAAGCAAAAAAGCGTTCATATGATTAATAATATTGTCACTTCTTCTAAAATTGATGATTCAGTTACAGATCATGTAAAGATCACGCTAACCACAATATTTAAAAAATTCTTACTAATATCATGAAATATACACCAGCATTGTATAATATTATTAATATCACCAATATTATTACTGCGTTAGAAAATTAAATTTATTTTACAGAACATTGTTACTACATGATACAATAATATTAATCGTATGAAAGTTCTACGAGAGAGAAAAAGAAAGGCAACAGAAAATAGGAATTCTGTGACTCTTCGCAGCATGCCAGAATAAATGAAAGAAAGAATAATAAAAATTCAAGAGACAACGTAAACTGGAATACAGTTGTCAAACGAATTCTATATTAGATCATTAACATCAATCGATTCTTCGTGTGTTCTAGGAAGAATCTGCGTCCAAGGAGATCGACGATGGTATTTCAGTCCTGCAAAGTGATAAAGATACGAAGACGTCGGCGTCGTGGCACAGGAACAACGCCGAGGTAATTAGTCCCGAAACGAATAATCGTGCCGTGATATCGCGTGCTCCCGTCGACGTCGGCGACCATCAGAAAGTCAGAAGCGAGACAAACGCGCCCGATAAGACAACGTGGAAGGATCAACGCGCAGACGACATCCTGGAGAACCAAAGGAAGAACAGCAAGAATGAGATTAACGCCAAGCTCAACAATCAGGAGCAGAGCGTCGAAACCGAGCGCAAGGACGATAAGGAGCGAATAGTTCGCAGGATCGATCTGAAAGCGTACGGTTTCGCGAACGAGTTCTCGGATCATCAGAAGATGCCTACCCGGCAGCAGAGAATGGTGAACAGACTGGACCTGAGTTCCTTCGGCTACCAGGACGGCTTGCGTCGTGCTCGCTCCAACAATCAGCTGCAGGATCAGCCGTTGCGGAACAACGCGAAGTCGAACCTAACGAGACGCGCGTATAAAGGACACCTGAACGACACGCCGAGATCACTCGGCTGGGATTTCGCGAAGAGCTCGGGGGGGCTCAACGAGCTACGGGACGAGGTCGAGGAAATGAACTCGCGGCTGACATCCGCCAAATCGATGCCGAACGTTGCTGACGACGTGTGCTATTACGCGAATCCGGTTTACGTGAACGACACTCAGGATGAGCTGATCGCCAAGAATTTGCTGGATCTCGCGGAGGAAAGCGCGACGACGGAGAAACGCGACGCGATCATCGGGGACGATATTTCGTTGCTGAACGATTACGACGAGATTCCGCCCGACGTCGACAGATCTTTCGAGGATATATATATCAGGACTAAGGCTGAGTCTGGGGAGACGGACGACGAGTCGCGAGCGATGCCCTCGGTGAAAAGACTCGCGGAAGCGTTCGGCAGGCGACAGACTTCCGAAATAGAGACTGCCGTGCCCGCGAAAATAATCAGAGCTTCGGTAACTAACGATGAAACAGTCATTTTACTTCGTTTAGATTTCAGATAGATCTCGAATTGATATCGAGTCTCGGTGCATTTGTTCGGAGCAAGATTGATATATGCGTCCATAATTTGTAAAAATAGATGACATGTAAATAACTAACTAATTAAATAGACGGATTTATTTTAGAAAAAGGAAAACTTTAAGAGTAGAAAAATGTCTACATAAATTGTTTTTTTAACTACGATCTGGTTTCACTCTTGTTCTGAATGTTTCATTTATCGTATAAATTTGTCGGTCACGTTACTTAACTAACAAACGTTACTAAATTAAATTGTAGTACGGTTCCAAAAAATACAATGTCATATTAAATAGATTAATATTAATTTGAATAATATATTCATGATACAGATACTTTCAAATGAATTTTTTATCAATATTTTTGCATTTTTAATCACAGAAGCTTTAGAATTAATGCAGAGCATTTTTTCAAATAAATATCATACGTATCATATACGTCAATAATTTGTCATATAGAGTCAAATCGATTTTCTGTCTCGCAGATGGCAAAAGTAGATGATGCCAAGGACAGATCGTTCACCCCCGAGGTACAGATAGTCGAAACGCCCAGGCAGATGCACAGTTTGACAGCCAGATCTCTTTCGAGGGAATTTCGCGAAGGGCTGCGTCAAATGCCTGGAAAACTGACATCGCCGCCGGTCAGCCGGTCATTAATAGAAGAGCGACCGACGAATCGAACGGAAGTCGTGCGATCGAAACAGGAGGGCAACGACACTGCCGTGATTTCACCCGGCAAGCTCAAATCGAACATTATATTTTGGGAACAAATGCAGAAAAGAAATTAAATAGTATATCTTCCTGTAAATGTGTAGTAATAAACGTTGCGGTATTCTGGTATTCGCGAGATAGACAGCATGGCGCAAGTTGCGGCCGTGAAATCAATTTTGTACATATATACGAAAAACAGAGATTTGGAAATTGCGCGTTCGAAAATGTATCGCTAAGAAAACCACGGCTCAGTGCGAGTTTATACCGTGAATGTGTAATAAACATTGCGGTATTCTGGTATTTACGAGATAGACAGAGTGGGAAGTTGCGGCCGTGAAATCAATTTCATACATATACGGAAAACAGAGATTGGAAATTGCGCTATCGAAAATATATCACCAAGAAAACCACGGCTCAGTGCGAGTTTATACGATAAAATCAAGTCGAAAAGTTAACTGGAAGAAATAGTAAATGTAAAAGTAAGTGTAAATATGATAATTATTGTGGGGTTCAATGGCAAATGGCAGTTATTAGAATTACGGCGACAAGTCGCTTTAAACGAAGACGGAATGTATCGTTGATTCGTCGCCAATCAATTTTGTATATTTGTAAATGATTTTGTGTACGTATAGGATTTTGCGCATTTTCGAACCGAATGGAAATGTACAGCTATGACTTCACGCAAAATCGAGTTGAATGTGTACTTTAAGGACGGCATTTATAAAAGAAGTTAATTGTTACTTAATTAAAAGTTAATTTACATTTATAAAATCGTCAGCGTTGCTATCCTTGCGAACGACAAGGATATGTTAATGTCTGCATCAAAAGGTAATAGTTTCTTAGCGTAAATTGATTTTGAAACGTTGTACGTTAACATGATAAAGTAAATGAACTTCTCGCGAGTGATAACAAGAAGATAGCTTTACATAGAGATGTAATGAAATTCGTGCCAAATGGCATCGCGACACGACACGTTGATAGCCAAAGAAAGCATTGCGAGTATCGTGTTCGAGACGAGAAACCAGGTTAACCCTTTCTATCCTGATTTGTTTTATTAAAAAAAACGTTATTTCCAAAAAAATATTCTTAAGTTTAAAGAAGACGATTCAAGAAATAAGAATAAATTCTCTAAAAATATGTACATATTATTAAACTTTATTTGCAGATTTTTTTGCAAAATTGAAGCCATCTGTAAATTGGAGTGAATGTAGTTATTACAACTAGTAATCACTAGTTGTGGTACAAAGAGTCGAAAAGAGTTAACCCAGCGCGTTGCCAATCGAAAGAAATAATTATTTCATAACGTAATTTAAGATTTTGCGAGCGTTTTGTATATTATTACAATAAAAATGTTTATTATAATTAATTAAATAAATTATCAAAAAAGAGAATATTATAATTAAATAAATTTATCGTCAAATAAAAAGGAATCGTTCATAATCAATTTCTCACATTGATTACATTATTGATCACATATGAAATATGTACTTACATTACTCTTCGTGACATATACCTATAGTTAACCAAATCTCGTGATATGATTGACCAAACCCCGTGGAATGATTGATGAGACTTCATGACATTTTGCACATTCCCGACATTAATCGCACGCACATTGCAACAGAGAAAGAAACACGAAATAGGTACGATTGCACGAAGTTACTGTTTGCACTCGGCATTTCTTGCGTTGGGTAAATACCCAACGGACGAATTTTGAACGATAAAAAGTCTCAAGAAATCGCCAATAAATGACAGATCGGCGCACACGTGCCGCAAAATTACGAACTTAAAGCCCACTTTAGACTATATTTTACGTTTCGTGTTGGAATTCAGAATAAAATTCCGTTCACAATTTTATGCGTCGCGTAGAATGTGAGAAGCGTTTGAAAAAAAAAATTAGAATACACACATACATGCATAAAAATATCTGGCGAGATATCTGGCATATAAAAAAATTAATTAACGGCTCTGTCGTGAAATCTGAATTGTGAATTAATGAAATATGAATGATAAATATAGATCGTTCATAGCGGGTTTAAATATGTAAATTGTACGTGATGCCGTTGATTAATTTCGATCGTTTGAATTCAGAAATTATCGGGAATTTTTTCTAAATGAAATTTTCGACTCTGATTAATACGCTTGGAAAAGTGTATGATAGTTGTAAAATATTCTTCATATTACAAACACAAATAGTGATGAATTAAAATAGCATGCAAGAATCAGCCAGTGAGAATCAGAAAAAGAAACGTAAATCGATGATGACACGTGCGAAAATTATGTTTACGGAGACAGAGGCATATTTAATGTCGTTTTATGTTAAAAGACAGTGCCATTTTGTACAAAACCAACAAGCAATCGATATAGGTGTATTAAATTATGTTCGTAACATCCCAGGTTGATACCGATACGATGACAAAAGATATCGTAAGATATCATTTTATAAATGTCATTTAAAATTCAGGTACTCACATTAATGGCCCTTTTGATAGCAATACTCAATGCGTAGGATCCATAGAAGTGCTGTCATATATCGCACGAGCTTGTTTGAAATATCGTAGGTGGTGCCATTCTCGTAACTCCAAATTGTATAGCGCATCACCTATGTAAAACAATTAAATTGTCTCATTTAATACTTTCTTTGCAACAGAAACTTGGACGAAAAATTAGAGAAAAAAAACCCGATAAACGTTGAAGTTTCTTAGAAACGAGGAAAGCAAATTTAATTAGACATTTTTATGTTTTAGTAAAAGAAATGATTGAAAAGAATTGATTTACGCGCTTAGATAATAGTTTCTTTTGTAACGATGTTTTCGGTTAGAGAAAAAACTCAGATTCAGCAGGAACAATAGATAAACGTTATCTTGTTGTCCAGCAAATTAGTTTCTCAAGTAGATTTGACTTCTAGATAATAATTAATAACTAAATTTGAATAATAATATTATTAATAACTCTTCCAATAATTAATTATCCGAATATCAGCAAATCCGGATCGAATTTGCAGCCGAAATAGATCGTACGCAAGAAAAAATAAAACATGTAAAACAGCAGTTAATTATTCACGAAATTATTTCTTAAAAATTAACACTTTTAAAAAGAAATTAATTTTCGATGCAGGATGAGAATTAAATTAAACGCCTCGTCTTTTTTCGTGCAAAATAAAGAAAAACGTATCCACCGCGTCGAGACATTTAATTTTCTTTCAAGAGGAAAATCGCGACGTTCGAATATTTCGAATCGGACTTTCGATTCCGCCGCGCGTTTCCACCTAACCTAAACGACGCGCGAACGTTTCTCCCCCGGGAGTCGCGAGAGCGTCGAAGTGTCACGGATCGTCCTGGAGCGTTTCGGAATGAGAATAGAGAGAACTCACGTTTAACGCCGATCTTTTCACGCCGTCCTCCTCGATGGGTAGCGTCTCGCGCGCGCTCGGCGATGCTCCTTGCCGTCAGCCACGGCGCCGTAGGCGCAGAACCCTCCGTCATGACGCGCTCTACGTTACGGTCACCTATTACCTACGTCGTCTCTCTCGCCTCGCGTTCGGGAATGTCGACCGCCCTGGGAACGGCGGTCCTCGCCAACGAGCGCGACATGACGTTATCGCGATTCGCCCGAATTCGCGCCCGTCGAACACCACCGTGACGGCTGGCACACTCGAGCATCTGCACTCTGCACTTCCGCCCCTCCGGCCTATCGTTTCCCGTAACGCGCCGTCGTGCCTACACTTTTTGCACCTCGGAACCGGACTGGACGTTCGAAGGAATAATGGAGGGAAAACGAAAGGCGATGCGAAGATATGGGAACTCTGCAACGTGAAAAAAATACGCTGTTTTTTTCCTCTTTATTCTCGCGACGAATTCGAAATCACCGCGAACACTTTACTCCTCTTTATTGTTTTTTTCTCTCTATTCTCATTTTGTTATTCTTCTTTTCATAATGTTCTCGTTTCCAAACTTGAATTCAAAAACTTTGCACCAATCTATACATATCTTTGAAATCTGGTTGCAAAAGATGTATTATTATTATTTGTTTGAACAATGGCTTCTAACCGAAGTTGACACTCCAGAAATGACGTGTTCTACTTTGACGTTATAATTACATATCTATTTAAAAAAAAACAGGTTTATTTTCTTGGTTCAAATAGTTGTACTATTTTATATTCGTTTAAGATGAAATAGATATACAGGAAAAAGAAGACATAAACATTAAAATAAAATACAAATATGGAAAAGAGAACTAAAAAGAAGTTTTTCTCTTTTTACTACAGATTACGCAGTTTTAGTATAGTCTTTTTAATTTTCTGTTTGCATCTCTTTGTTTCACTTGTGTAATATTCAACTGTAAAATAATGTAAAAGAAAAATGCATAGATAGTATATAATATATATTTTATTCTCGAAATATGATTGTCTCCAAATATGAAAGCATCTCTTGTATTTTCATTCAAAACAGGTTTCCCTCAAACTTGAAAATCAAGAAACATGTCACGATTGTCATGTTTGTTGTTCTCAAAATATGATTTAATAAAAATACAAGAGACAAAAAAGTATGTCTTATTTTCATTAAAAACAGATTTCCGTCAAACTTGACAGTCAAAAAATATGTTGCGATTGTCATGTTTGAGACGAAACACCGGTTATACTTGATATTTATAGAATACAATGCATTATAAAAATATATACATATTTTTTTTTAATATTATACATTTTTAAATATATATAGTTTTAAAATATTAATATATATATATATAACATAAATTTATATATAGAAATGATTAGAAAAGAAAAGTTGCAATAACTTTTTGATCAAATAATCATTTCGAATATTCGATTGGAATAAAAAAAAAAATTTTTACTAAAGGAAAAAATCTGCCGTGTGATGACATACCAATCGATTGTATCTGTTCTTAGATTATTACGGAAGAATGTTATGACGAGATAAAAACTATCATTTCAGAAAAATATGCTTATACAAAGAACAATTTTCGTCTTACATGCGTCAAGTACTCGCGAACTCACGGCGATATAATATTGTACTAATAATTTGCCGTTTTAACATAGTGAAACGGTACTGTGGACAAACCATCACTGTGTGTTAATTGATAATGAAATATAAAATTATCGACCACTGTCGAAATGTGCGATATTAATGTATCTAGGACAGTACTGCGTCCCACGTATTCCGCGCACATTTTCCGCACTTCCTCGCACACCACTTGGACTGCATAAATATAGCAACAGCGTAATTCCAATTCTTCTATATCGCCGACGTGCAATGTACCATCTACGTGAAAAACAGTGTGTTTTATTATAACTCGCTAACAATACAGCAAACCCTCTGTATAGAAATAATTGATTGAGATCAGAAAAGTTGCCTCCACCCACAAAGATTTGTATGCAACATGCAAAATATCATAACCAATATGTCAATAAATTCAAATCAAACCATAGAATTTCAATAAATCTTTCTTTCTATTAAATCGTAAAATAGATAGGGTTGATTTAACATCTTTTGTTAAAAAAGATGTTACATTGCTTGTTCTTTGAATTTAATGCTGCACTACATTAAATGTTTTACATGTCAGAAGAATATTTTATGAAATTTGTACAATGGAATTTTGTGCAGGACAAAGCATTTACCGTTTATAAAAAGTGATTTAACGGTAAATATTTTACCTCTTATAAGAAGATTGAGATACTGAGTATAGCGAATAGCTTTAAAATGAAGAAGAACTTGAGGAGCACAGTAATCAACTAACAATGTAGACGTCACTGGCTGCAGTTCTTGACTAATTGGAAAGTAAGCTCGTAGATCACTTATTAATATCTTGGCCTTAGTATAGAGACGAACTGAAAAGACGTTCAATAAAAAGAGTAACATTAGCAAACTGTGTAAAATATTATTTAAATTTTATTACAAATTTCATCACATTTTATAATATAGCAATCATTAATTCACAAATATATTCAAGATACGTTCCGTTAAAAATTTAGAATTTTTGTCTTACGAACTTCGGCCTTTTGTAAGGTAATTCAAATGACACAAGACACAGTAGATCATTTTTCTGACAATGCTTGCATTCAAACATATCCAAACACAACTAAATATCTTATAAGCTTAATATCCTATCATATATACATACTAATATGATCTAAGGTATAAAAGTATTCTGTGATTTATAAGTGTTGTCTGTAATATTACATACGTACTACATAATAGCAATAATTACTTTTTTCTCCATAATACGTTACTTCATCTTGATAGGAATCAAAGTTAAAAAGCATTGTCATCAATTTCTTTGCATTATATCCAGATGCTCTTATGCAATTTAGAAATAGACCTGTAACACAAGAAAACCTTAACATGTGACTATTTCATCTATTATATATTTTATATGTATAAAATATTCACTATGAATTAGTTGCTTAATAATGAAAAAAATAAAATTTGAAACATATTCTCTTTGTCACGCAGTAAGGTAATTTACAACGTAAATTTTAAATCTCACATCTCTTTTCTTTGACAATATCTATATTTTTTCAAAAGTTCTTAAAGTTTTATCAATTTTTCATTATTATTTTTTATTTTGATATTTTTGTGACATTTATAAATAACACTTTTTTATTACAAAAAAATATGCATGATATACGTTATCCAGAAACCTAATGAGTAAAGGTCACACACACACGTAGTCTTGCTACATGTGGACCAACCTGGCACAAAAGCCAATTTAATTTAACCCTTTGGACCAACGGCTTAACGTCTCTTTCCGAAAGACGGAGCCCAGTTTGCTCCGCACAAGGGCCTCAATCTTGCACGGAGGGGCGCAGCTTTCGGAAAAACATGCCATGGCTCTAGTGGACTCGAACCTGGTACTTCAGATTACGAGGCTGGCGCTCTACCACTAGACCACACTGCCACCCAATATGCATGATATATGTTATCGCTATCTGAGATGACAGCATATTTTAAATTTTAATAATATTAACAGAGAACTTATCTTTTTTCTCTCTTCGAGGAAAAACAAAAGAAAATCGAGCTTGAACTATTCATACATATATATAACGAATAAACAGAACTGCTACAAAATTGAGTAAAATATGTGAAAGAAATTTTTCTTCACAATATTCTTGCAATTATACATACCCTTATATTTTTTCTTTAAAGTTTTTCCGACGTAATTTAAAACAATACGTCTTTCTTTTAAATGTGGAAGGGTTATTTCAGGATCGTCACCTCGAAAAATATATTCCATTTCACTTTGACTAATATTCATGTAATAATTTGGGTGCCAAACTAATTCGTTGTTCTATTTCAAAAATACACGTTATACAATTAAATCGATGCTAAAGAGATATCCATTTTTTTAAATAATTTTAATGTAATTTTTAAAATACAGTGTAATACAAAATTATGGACGTTAGATTTGTCAGAAATCACTTCCACAAGATCATTATTTATCATCAAACTTTATATAATAAAAATTACCATTTCTAATGGCAATTTGATGTAAGTAGGATGTAATCCAGAAATTAGAAAAAGAAAAAAGGCATAATTAACACAAATGCCAATAAGAAAGAATCAAAAATTGATTGGAAAACGGGAATTATTAATTAAAAGAAAAATTAAGAAGCATAAATTAGTATCAAAACTTATATCAATTAAAGCAAAAACATTTAATATATTATCAGCAATGACTATGTTATGAATTACAGAATATAGAATTAAAAAAAATGTGTTAATGCTACCTGGTAAAAAAAAAATTAGTTTGTGCTAAATTATATTAAAAGTATCTCATGTCAGAAGCATTTTGAATCCTCTATAATTTGGCAGAAAGTGTTTATATTCAGGAATGCTATTTAAAAGAAAAGAAAAATAAATGAATGTTAGACTCACATCAATAGCCCTCTTGATGGCTGAGCACAATGCCCAGAACCCTGTATAATTATTAACTGTCCATTGTCTGGTACTCTTTGGAATGTAAAGCGAAAAATTTAATGTATGCAATAAAAATAGCCAATCCCCGCTTCTGATGTCGAAGAAGGAAGGATAAAGTCCTGGCAATTGTCGTATAAAAGTAGTACCCAATATTGTACTATCCTGGTTAGACAGCATAAAATCTACCACCTATTAAAACATATTGTTTAATAGAATTTGCTTAATACAAACTTTAATTAATTGCTGAATTTTATTTAAAATTATTTATATTTTTTAAAATCTTATATTATTCGACAATATAAAATGCTTCAAAGACTAATTTATTTAATTTTCTCACACTGTTTAAGTCGCGAATTGTTTGACATTTTCAAAAAAACAATAAAAGAAAACAAACCTCCTTCGCTAAATTCTTCACACCATTTTCGTCAATGATTACATCTCTCGTTCTTTTTGCAACAATTTCCTCCGTCGAACATTGAATTGTAGAAGAAGACACAGCCATAAAACGTTCCATAATATTAAACCTATTCTTCTGAACTGTTGACTACAGTTATTTCGACCGCGATTACCTCTCTGTGTGATCACAACTGTGACAGAAAATAAACACGACGTAATAACATTCTTGAACGTACAGAAAAAGTCCGTTATTGGCGTTATATTTCTCACATCATATAATTTGTTTTCGATTTGTTTTTTTCAGTTGCATATGTTAAAATTTTTCCTTCCTTTTTTGCCAATGCTTAATTACATTTTAAAGAAACAGGTCTATTTTCTTGTTTCTCGTAATTGTAATTGCTTATTGATTTATTTCTAAGATCGAGAAATAAAACAATAAAAAGTACAAATACGTATACGTGTATATACAGTGTATATGCATGTGGCGAAAAGAAGGAAATAAAAATTAGAAAGCAAGAATATATTTAAAGAAAATAAAAAGTATAAATCATTTAAAAAAAAATTATGTACTTTTTCGAAATTGAAATATCTTTACTAAACGTATTGTATTGTTATTGTTAGTAGTGAATAATATCACACTGCGTTTAAAATTCGAAACAGTAGAAGAAAATGTGCATGGTATCAATTGAAGAAATAATTTTAGATATTAATTTTAATTTAAATAATTCAATATATTGCGGAAGTGGATCATATTTAAAAAATCAAAATTTTTTGTTATTGTAATTAAACTTTAATTATAAAATCCTACGAATATAATGGAAATGAGAAATTTTAGTAACAATTATTTTTCTACATTCGCTGTAACACGCAATAAGCATATTATAGAAATAATATCTAAATTCTCTGTAGAATTTAATAATAACATTTTAAAAGAAAAATTATTTAAAACTTTTACATTATACATTATTATATATCATATATTAACATATTAATATATTAACCCTCAATTACCTTATATTTTCACTACCCGTTGTTACCTCACCAGGGTCTAAAAGACCCCTATCGTCTTTTCCAGGTTGTATTTTTAAGACAAATGCATCAATTTGACGTCTTCTTTTTTAATCGATAAATCTTTTAAAGATCTACAAGACTGTGTAAGTTAGATTTATTTCAAATTAAAAAATGTAAATGTTATTTAAAAAAAAGAAAACTTGTTTTTCTGAAGAAGCTAAAAAATTTGCTTTTTTTCAAATTAACATAGTATTGACTAAAAAAAGATACAAGGATTTTATGAACGTTTTAAAAACCCTGCACGTTTTAACAACGTGCAAGGTCTCTCAGACCCTGGTGAGGTAACTGAGGGTTAATATGTTAATATATTATTACAAGTAATTTTGTCCATATTATCAAAATGCTAAAAAACATTTTCTTTAAAAAAATCAATCTTAATCGAGAGTTATAAAATTAAAATCGACCGTGTCATGTTTGCTTTCCATTATTTTTAAAGTATGATGTATATAGTATGAATAAAACGTGAGAAAAGGTATCATTCGATGTACGATTTGTGACAATGCAAATTGTATTAATATTGGTCAGTGGAGATCTTGCATAATATGCTCTTCTTCAATTCCTTATCGTATATTTGTCGATAGTCCCACAGAAAGTTGTCAACCAGACACGTGAAATCGAAACTAGGTAGAAGTATTTCAGGTATTTTACTTTCTTCTATGTAGTAATCGCACTTTTCTATCACCATCTTTTTCACGTATCTTGCTATGGTTATCGAACAACAGAATATCTCTAATCCTTCTCTGCTCCCATGCGTCAGCAATCCGTCTACAAGGAAATATTTTGTGTGTGTGTGTAATAAATTTTAAAAATTTAAAAAATTTTTGAAAAAATTTATAAAACTAAAGCGAAGGATATATTAGATAAAAATTAATAACTTAAATAAGTCTCTTTTTTCTAAAAAAAAAAAAAAAAAAAAACGACAGAAACTAATAGGAAAAATAATATTTGCGAAAAATAATGACTTGTATTCTCTGCAACATAGTTTATTGCTATATATATTATTTCGTAGGTATTATATCTGTCAAAAAAGCATAATTAAAGAAACACAGTAATTTTTATGTATTTAATGTAATATTCAGAGAATAAAACTTCGTGGAGAAGCTGATATTGATAAAGAATGACAAGTGTCTTACCCTTTTCTTCAAGTTTGTCCAAAAAATTCTTACTATAAACAAGAGCCTTAAAATGATTAAAAATCTGAGGAATACGATAATCGGCAAATATCGTAGGAGGTTTCTCATTTGCCCATTTTAGATAAAGACTATGCTTCGGACCAAAGAAGGTCACCATGCTGGCTGTCAATATCATAGCTTTATTGTACAAACGAACTAAAAGGAAGTTTGAGACAAATGCATTATATTATTAAACTATATTTACATCACAAATGTGATATATTATTTTAATTATCATCAGTCAAAGATCTGTATATCCAGGAGATTTTATATTAGAGAGACTTATAACTTATAACCCTCCCCCTTCCCTTCCCTATACATTACTTACAAACTTCTGAAACTTCGCGTTTTCATGCGGTAACTGAAATGGCTCGTGACATACAAGAGCATTCTCGTTGATCAGGTATATGTTCAAATATATTTATCGATTCTTGATTTTAAATTCTTTCAAAATGTGCTCGAAATTACAGACCAATCTAATTTTACGATATTATTTTGATTTCAGGACCTCTCTCTATATAATATCGCATATTCTTCATCATTCATAAATACCTTGTTGTTCGCCGTATTTTGTTAGACTGTCATCGTACGACGGGAATTTCATAAGTATAGGCATCAACTTCGCGGCATCGTGTTCACATAATCTGATACATTCGCTGAAAGTACCTGACAAAACGAAATCTTATCCTCATCAAATAATTAAGTATTTGAGATTTAAGATTTACTAATTAAGGATATATATTTTTTCAATATACCCCATCCAGGACCTTCATAAACTTTTGAATCATCTAATCGAGAATAAAACGAGAAATATTGATTTTATATTACAAGTCAATTTAGATCGTTGATTTTCTTTTCTTCGTGACAACATCTGTTTCTCGACAAAGAGCTCTAGTTTCGTTAATTTCTCCGCTATTTCCACTTTAATACTTTATAATTGTAATATAAATTAACATATTTTTATATAAAATATATATTGCTTCAATATATATATAGATAGTATTTTAAATATCTGACGATACTTTAGTGATTCCAACAGACAACTTTTCCTCCCTTTTTCCAGAGAGAAAAGAAAAAACAGATCGGTCCTAGACGAGTTATATGCATACATGGAACAAACGAAAATGCTATAAAATCGTGTATGTAAAATTTTGTCATGTGATAGTTTATACCTTTGAACTTGTCCAATAAAATTTCTCCAATGTCGTGCAAAATCTGTAATCTTTCAGATATGCGTGGAATGTAATTATTGTTATCACCCCGGAATATGATTTTCATATCTGTCATAGATAGGTCCTTATAAAACGTAGGGTTCCACATTGGCTTCCCACACTATCGCAAGAATTACACGTTAGTCTCAAAAAATGAAAAATTTCAGCCACATTTAAATTGAAAAAAAAACCAATGATACAATGTAACAAAATTATGGAGACAGAGTTTACTACATATGCGTTCAATAATATTAAAATGGAAAATATTCCATTTACGCGCATTTATTATTTACGCGGTTATGGAATTTTTAAGGACTTGAGATTTATCTTGCCTGCATAGAAATACAGATAAATAATACACGTATACATATACAGAAAAATAAATATATACATATTTAAAAAATTAATTATTAATTGTATGAATATTTTATATTATAGACATATGTTACAAACATTACTTATCTAAAAATTTTAATAAATGATGGCATGGAACACATCGTAATAATTTTTTTTAACGGTTTATATCAAACAAATGAGCGAAAACAAGTAAATGCACATGCGTGCACGACATTGTCAAAATATATATTATGTATTCAAATATGCTGTGAAAAAATAAGACTAATACACTAAATTTACGATATGAATTGTTCATCTTGTATATGAATCAATAGCATTATGATCGGAATTAAAAGAATTACGTAAGTATTGTTTTTCTATATGTAATTTATGTAAAGTTTAACCTATATATAATCAATACTAGATATTTTTTATTTGCAATATCTAATATTTTAAATGCAAATTTCTAGTTATACAAATTAAAAATAAATTAAAAACAAAGATTTCGTATATATCTTAAATTTACAATTTGGAATTAGTGAAAATTCTTAAACGTTAGTAGATTTATTCGCGTTTCAAAGCAAACTCTAAGAACTTAAGATCAAGACCAGATTGATACACGAAACTAATAATATTAACATTAAAAGTGACTGGCTCATCTCTTCTTTCAATTATATCAGTTTTGAATGATAGTTGAATTTATCAAACTTCTCAGATTTAAATATTATTATTTACCGATTAATTGTCGCCACTTTTCGTATACAAAAGAAATATATATATTTTAAAAATAATATAGAAATATATAAAAAATAATACATTTGCAAATTAAAAATTATTAATTGACACAGAGATTTAGAACGGTTTGCCGAGACGGTTCCCAAGCCAAAGGGCGCCGTGCCCGGGTTTGGTCTACCAGGGTGGAAGATGATGCCTTTGGAGCATAAAATACCTATGATACCTGGACCGAAGGGCGCTTACAGCTTCACGCGACGCAAAGTAGGAAAGAAATTGTGGGGGCCAAAATTAGAATTTGATCTGAGCGACCCTTATTGCCACGAGACCAAATTCCCTTATGAACCCTTGCACGACGAACATCTGTTCGAGTTCTTCTCTAGACCAATTAATCAGAAATGTCTACTGAAAGCTGACCTAATCACGGACGGTATGGACGTGAAGTGTTCGCTGCGCGATTACAATGGGTATAGGAAATATTTGAGGCAGGTACACGCTGATCGTATAAAGAGAGAGCTGAGAAGAAGAGACCGTCTATTCGTCGAGAGAACAGCTTTACGTTTCGCTGAGGACCAGGCGCGCAAAGAAGCGGAAAGGTATAATTCGCAATTGTTTGGCAAAGAAAAGGAGGTTGTTTGGGAGATTTTTTCAGACGAGAAAGAAATGTATCTTCATCTTAAACATACACTTTTTATTTCGCAGTATCCTTTTCTTGAATATAAATATATTATTATTAACAAAATCTGTTTTATTGTAAATTCAGATTGAAGGAGAGAGAGAAACTGGCCAGCGAGAGACAGCGCCTCGTGCAGCAACAACTGTTCCAGGAAGAATTGAGAATCCGGAAGCTAAAAGAGCGAGCGTGCAGGACGAGACGTAGATTGAAATTGTTAAGGCTTATTAAGCAAGAAGAACGAAGATTGATAAACATTAAATATGAAAAACGGGCCGAGCAAATTCGGCAGAAATGCAAAATTGCGACGGAGATCACTCGACGTAAAGTAATCGATACGCTAGTGGATTGGAAGAAAAAGGACAAAGCGCGAAAGAAAGCCAAGGAGAAGCGACTATTGGATATCGAGCAACGGAAGCAGAAAGAAATGGAAGAAAGGTACGTATATTTTTTCATATAGATAAAAAACAATAAAGCATGTCACACGATATTTTCAATGTACAAGTAGTGATTTAATTTAATCATTTTCGTAAGCAAGCAAAAATTTATTCAGAAAGAAAATCTTACATTGGCGAATTTCAGATGGAGAAAAAAGCAACAGTTTCAAGAAAGAGATATTGCGAAACAAAAAGTTTTACTACAGCGTATAGACATTCGTCGTCAAAAATTTATAGAGGATTATAACAAGAGAATGAATAAAGAGACAGCAAAAATGAAAAGTAATGCTATGAGAAAAGATTGAAAAAATAGTGAAGACTATATTTTCAATTATAATGTTCTCAATCATGAATTTATCATCGTACAATCGTTTGAAGAAATTAAAAGATTTAATTTTATTATCTATAATTAATTTTGCACAGGACTTTTTGATGATACGAAGTTATTTACAAAATGTTACATGAAGAGGCGCTTGCCAGATGGAAGGACACTCATTTGCTGCAAGAAATACTTTAAAAACAATTTGGTAACTGCGTAATAAAGCATTTTAAATAAGTACAAATTTTACATTAAATATTTTTTTCATTATATCGCAGGATGGAAAAAAAGATAAAGTAAAAAATAATTTGCAAAATTCAGTAAATTTTTCGTCGAAATTCATGAAGCGGAGAAAACAAAGTATGAAAAGTCGATACTTTTAATTTACGTATACTTTTATTGTACGTTAATGCTTCAAAGTTTCATAAAAATTATTATTTCAAATAACAGATACAAGTGGCAAACGTCAGAATGTAACGCACAAATCGAAGCAGATCACACAAGTCATAACAACAAAATAAAACAATAAACGGATAAACCAATCGTTAGCAGAGAATCATTGGTTAGAAAAAAAAGTTGGTGTTAACCGATGAAAATTGTGCCAACGGAAATAGAGGCAATGTTGTTAGCAAAGTCAATATTAGAAGACAAACACAGATAAGTCACGTCGTAGAAAACAATGTACGATTAGTATTAAAATGTTAAATTTGATTAAAGGTACTCGAAGGCATTATTGAGACATATTGACAAGCGAAATATTAATGTTTTAGCAACATCACGCGTAAAGCTGAATAAATATATTCACCTCTATAGCCCTTTTAATAGCAGCGCACAATGCCATGTAGCCAGTGAATCCATGAACTTTCCATTCCGGCTCATCCTTTCGGGTCCAGAGTGCAAAATTCAATGTATTTAACACAAATAGCCAGTCCGGTGCTTTGGGGTCGTTCGGTTTGGGGTGAAATCCGGATGACAATCGCACGTAACGTGATGTGACCTCAGCGAAATTTTGATTTTCATGATTACGAACCATATAAGACATCACCTATGCAAAACAAGATCTCATTTAGCGGCGTACTTTTTCTATAATCGTGAAATTCTAATAAAAAGTTGACATTATGAAATTGTATATAACAAGATAATATATATTTTAAAATATCGTACATTTAAATAAAAACAGTGCAAAGTTAAATCAAATCGGCAGATTTTTTGTAATATTCTCGAATCATAAATAAATAAGAGTTAAATTTTCGCTGAATATATTCATATATATCGAGATGTATATAAACTATACTGACGGATATATCGTTTTCATGTTACTTGTGTTAAAAAGAACGATTTTGAACGTCCGAAAAAGAATTAATAATATTTTTCTCAGTTTTCGTTCGATGTAGCACTTCGTTCATGACCAATACTAAGTATCTCCATTTCTTAAAATTATAGAGATTACAGAAATAATAACGTCATATAAATTGAAACCGCGCGTTTCTTATGACTTATAATCTAAACTTTTAAATATTCTCGCTTACGAATAAATTGTCAAAATATTTCGGATTAGTAAAATCAAATTTTCAAGAAAGATAAGAAAAACCTCCATTGCTATCTCTGTTATGCCTGCCATGTTGATGGATACGTCCTGCGCTTGGGTAGTAACAAATTTTATCGTATCTATCCTTTTCGTTTGCACATTTTCCGCAGGCTTATTTTCCGCAGGCTCATCTTCCGTAGACACATTTTCCGTAAACAAATTTTCCGTAGAGACATTTTCCATAGACATATTTTCAGACTGTGACTCCATAATGTTACATTAGTTTTGCTTATCGTTTTAAACTACTGCGATCACCTCGACAAGAATCCCACGGTTGCGGTCACGTCGACAAGTATCACAATCGAAAAATAAACATGACATGAAAATAGAAAGTTTCTGACGATATGCTGAATCTGTTGTTTGCGTTATCGTGTTTTAATTCCGAGATCGGCATTGCCACAATATATAGTATTGTTTTTTTAACCAAATTACGTTAAACTTTTGCAATACTTATCTAACAATTTCTGTAATACTTAAGATCATGTTAGTCTAGGATTCCTGATAAGGTTCCCTGCGGAAGCGGTAAATTTGTAACTTGACGAATCTCAAGTTCGATTCCTCATCTCATGTATCTTGAAAGTTAGTAATTTCCGTAAACTAAGGGAGGCCCTAAAATATTCCTAGTTTTTCTAGTTAAAGATTGTGCATGTGACTAATAACTACATGAAACACTCATTGCCTTTCAGGATGAAATTTGGACAGTAAGTTAGTAACCCATTCCTGTAGAAAAATTCTATATTATGGAACCTTTAGGAAAAAACTAAGGAATGTTAAGGCCCAATTATTTCCTGAGGGAGACCAGGGTTCGACTTCAAGTGTGGCTCCATTAGATAAATAGATGACAGGATTCAGCTTCAAATTTTTATTACAAATATTTCGTACACGACGCCAGTAGCGTTGTAAACAGATCGTAGAAATAATGCTTTTGAGGGAAGCTAGACCCCAAATATCCCCATTATTTCCGATCCAGAATAGGATCTATTGTTTGACCGCCGCAAATCTGTCCCCATCCGATCAGACGCCAGTGCTTCTCCACTCGTCTGGACAACGCAATCTTCTCGTCGATCTCCGTGCACACTGGATTCGTCAAGCTGATCTTTGCTAAGTCGGCACGAGTAGCCAACACTCTGCCACCGGTACTTAAAGATCCGATATTTACCAGCAATACCTCTCCCCTCGACAGTTTCGGTACCTATCGAGATATTTACAATAAAAGCAATAAAAAAAAATTAAAATCCTTTTATCTATAAAATAAGCATAATTTTAGAGAAAAACAAAGTTAGATCTGACTACGAATTGTACATAATCAGAAACTATATACATATAACAAGTGTACATGAAAGAACAAAATATTACATAAAATATTCTCTATAGCCTCAAAACTTTTGCAATATTTACGACAATATCAGTTACAGATAGTCTTAAAATCATGTAGTTTTTCAGAAACATATATTAATTTTAGAATGCAATAATATAAATCTTTGAGATAATTAAGATTGTATAGAATGCTACAAATGGACTTACCCTAGCGCCCTTTTTATCACCTTCGGTTCTGACACCTAATAAACGTTTCAATAAATAATACGAGATTTCCAGCTCGATGAATATCTGTGGTAATGCGCCGACACTTCCAAGAATTTGCCCGACTAGACGATCAGCACGGCACAGAGTAGGCTCGATCTTGGTCCCGACACCTTATACATAATTTATTACTCTTATAAAATGATTAAGACATGCTACAATTCTGTTCATATTAGAGTAATTAGTAAGGAACATCTACGATGAATATCATTTACCAATTAGACCACCAGGTACAGCAAATTGCAGTTCATTCTGTTCGGCGAACAGTGACACGATGCGCGAGAATATCGGACGACAGGTCAGCTTGCCCTCGCTATCCTTGGACACTAATCCTGGACGAACTTCAATTTCCATACCAACCTGTGACAAAAGTGGTATTTATGATACATGTTTCGGAGAAATTAACCTGGTTTAGACTGATCTAACTCATACTTTCAACACTCCTCTGAGGATGCTACCACCAGCGACCCCGCCCTTCAAGTCGTCCACCTCGCAGCCCGGCTTATTCACATCGAAAGATCGGATAACGATCAATCGAGGCTCAGACGTAAAATCTCTCATTGGCACCGGGATTTTCTTGGTAATGTACTCGCACAGTACTTCAATATTGTATTTTAGTTGCGCCGAAATCGGAATTATTGGAGCGCCTTCCGCCACCGTTCCTGATTTAAAATTATGCAAATAAAATGTAAACACACAGATGCACTTATGCGTCGTTTTGTATTAGCAAAAATGGCAAGTAACCTTGAATAAACTTCAAAATTTGCTCGTATTGCTCCTTGGCTTGCGCTTCTTTAACCAAGTCGATTTTGTTTTGCAAGATGACTATGTGCTTAAGTTTCATAATTTCGATAGCGGCCAAATGCTCCGACGTTTGAGGCTGCGGGCATGACTCGTTGCCAGCTACAATTCAGTAAAAGAGCTTATTACTTTAGAGAAAGAACGGAACAAATAAATCTCGTATAATCAGCATAAAAAAATATATTATTTACCGATTAAAAGCAAGGCGGCGTCCATAACAGCTGCTCCGTTAAGCATAGTCGCCATAAGAATATCGTGTCCAGGACAATCGACAAAGGAGACGTGCCGTACCAATTGGAATCTTCCTGAACAAATCGGACGCATGCAAGGAAAGGAGTCATCTTTGCTGGACCCACCGGATATGTAGCGTCCAGGTCGAGGACATTTCGGATTTTCACACTCGTAAATCTTCGCGTTTGCGTATCCTGAAATAAAAAAGAGCAATCAGACAACTCGTTCCTTCAGTCTTCTTTCTTTTTGAGCTTACTAGGATTTTCTTTCACAGAAAGGGACTAATCAAGCGCTGCACGCGTCGACTTCTAAAATAAATTCTTCTTTGGAATAAATTGTAAGAATTTTAATACCAAAAGCATACATATATATATTAAAAAAAACAAACATTTTTCAGATAATGGTCTCTGATACTCCACGTTTCTCGTTGCTTGTCGCCCACATTCATCAGACGGCTTCCTTGATTCATCATAAAAATTCTAAGCTAAAATTAGCCATATGTGTTATATTACTATATCGAAATGTCATCGAAATAATCTCATCGACTCGTTCCATGGAAAAATAAACCGACTATATCATGTCATAGACTCTTTCTGCGATAATAGATTAATTTTATCAAAAGAGATAAACGCGACATTGTAATTCACCTCGTGCGAGATTTTATTTTCAGATTCATCCATCGACAAGACAACGACATGTGCATGAATCTTATAGTATCTTACAGGAATCTTATGCTTTCTTAACTATTAACTGTAATCTCTTATATTACCGACTTGTACGTATAAACTGTGTCATAGGCCATAAATATAAAACGTATTTTCGTGACGTATTCGCGTGATTTTCGCGCGTGAAAAGATGTAAGAAAATAGTCACCGATTAAGATTCTCTGTGAAGAGAATATGACGACAGAGTGGCATATATATTCCGAAACAGTCCTGAAGCTCTAAGACGACATACAACTTAAAAGTAATGATTTATTTTTAACAACTAACGCATGTATATAAATTTACGTCGACCCTTTACGTTCCGATGTGGTAGCAATCAAACGATACAATGACAACGTAAAACATTAATTATTTAATACTGCAATGCAATAATAACCATTTACTACCGTATCATTAACTGCGTGATATTATTACAAAAAAGCATATTTGAGCAATGAATTTTTCAACGCGATCAAACTCTTAACTATATAATGAATCTGTCGAATTAGGCTTTATACATCGTGTAATGTGTACCTTAATTAATTAAATGCAATAATTGGCTATTCAGAATGTAAACAGTCGACTCCCGGGATTACACCAATCTCCAGAAACCCTTACGAAGATTTACTAGTGACTATCAATTACCGTACAAAATATACAATATAGAAGTAATTGGAACACGCAATTTCTTGGAATAAAAATAGAACACTTCTTCGCCCGTGGCGTTGAATCACGTTTATCGTAAAATTTACATGTTAAATCGGACGACGCATTCCAGAAATGCAGTACCAAAGATTCTATTTCTTTACTCTATGAATAAAGACCCTAGTTGCACCCACGGACAAATTATTGAACACTCGCGGTTGTGTGGCGAGCAAAAATCAAAATAAATATTCATAAATTCTATGACGCGCGGCTATAATATAAATTATGATGATATTACAATCAACGTGCTGAGGTGAACATCAAGACACCGAAAATGTGTCAGCACACGTTTTCACTATAGCAGTATCATTTTTTAACATATGATTTATGCGCTCAGGTGAATGACTCACATTCGCAACGTCTCTTGTCTTCTTTCGAGAAGGTCTTTTTGTTTTCCTCCCTTTAACTTTGTTTCTTTAAATGTCTCTAATCATTTAATTAAATATGAATTATTAAGATTTAAAAGGTGAAACAAACAAGGTTCTCGACTTTCTCTGAAAGTCTAATCAGAAGACACTGCAAACTTGATGCATCCAAAATGTAATACGTATTGATACACGCAAGGAATATATACTTGCGTTCTCTAAGAAAAGAAAAAAAGAAACTAAAAAAACAACATTAATATACAAAATATATGACCAATATACGATAAAAGCCACTTGATACTGCCCCCACGTTACCACGCGATTAAAAAACGCGAATTTTTACCTCATATTTCTCGCGTTTGCGTCTAACTTTTGTACAATTATGCTGAATATAAAAATGAGCATAGAACGTGTTAAAACAAAACCGACAAACAGCTTTGTCACACTCTCTCATATAACAATTCAGTATACATACCACATAACAATTCAAGAAACTCAACATTATTATTATTATTCGATGGCAATATTCACATAAAATGTCACTATGTGCAGTCACATCCATCTCCTAGTTAAGCTCCTAGCATTATTTTTTTATTCTATGCTCATCCACGACTCTCCACTAACCCATACACGACGATAAATTCTCACAATTTAAAGTTTGCAAGTTTGTACTTTAAAGTCTCATTTGTTTGGCAGACGTCAAAAAATAAAGGTAAAGTTTTAATCAATGTCATCGTAACAATTGTGAATTATGAACACAATAGTACATCCTACAATGTACATGCTACAATGAGACACAATAGTAACTTCAGTTATTAAGTTTTCAAATTTTTTCTTTTATTTATTACCTCGCTTGAAAGACTGTTTCATTTTTATAATATTGATTAATTATTTTAGTATTCAGCACTTAAAGGAACATAGATAATTTATTAAAACTTGAGAAATTACCGCGATTGTATACGACAATAAAATCACTTTCAAGTTAAATAAATTTAAGAAGATAACCGCAGACTATAAGTTTGAAAAGTAACTATAACTTTTTGGTCAAGTTACTATTCCAATCATAGTGCATTTTTTCTTTTCAAATTATAGTCATCGCTAACTCGGTAATATGTACAAAAAAAAAAAGAAAGAAGATTGAGAGAGTTAATCAAGGTCAACAATTGACGCTCGTGAAAGTTACGCGGCAGGCATGCTCCTTAAAACAAATACCGCCGGCACGTCGCGGCGCCGCACTTGCAAAGCATCCTGTTTTTCGTAGCGGCACTTCCGCCCTCCGGTTTGTCTTTCAGCAGTTGTTGCCTCTTCGCGTTGTCGCGTGGCGTCTGGCACATATAATCGAACGTGAGTTCCTCGTTCTGCTTGATGTCTTTGATAGCAAACAGTGCGAGATTCGGCAGATTTGGGTCCAGGCAGTTGATCCAGATTGCGTAGACTCCGAGATTGGGGTCGCACGAGTGATTGATGAAGTGCGAGACGTTGCCGTACATGGCAGCGTCCACGGTGTACGGACACTGGTCAGTTTCGTTGTAGTCGAGATCGAAGAGATATGTACGACCGGTCAAATTGTATTTTTTACCGCGCTTCTCCGCTTCCTCATTACTAATCACCTCACCAACGTATTGGGTAACGAAAGTGCCTTTCTTGATCGCGCGCCGGGTACGCACGCCCCATCCACGTCCATTGCTCGTACGGAAAATGCACAATTGCGTGCCGGTACCTTGCTGCACCACCCGATTCGGACAGGTCAACGCGTCGCAGGCACAACGTTTGTTGCACTCGTAGATAGGTGTACCCAGGGGCACGCGTATCCGGCGCGCTGACGTGTATGGCAACGACGTGACACCGTCCTGCGCGAAACAGCAGCCGGACTTTTTGCCGGTTCCGCACTCGCCGTCGCACTCGCAACCGATCGGCGGATCGTCCGGTATTATGACGCCCGCGCCTGGCAAATAGCTGTCGATGTAGTAGAAGTCTTGCGGCGCGCTCTCCAGATCCACCAGGTTCTCCACCTGTATCGTCGGTTTGCCCTTTGTAATACTGTTCATCTCGTTTTCCCAATCCTGCAGTGACTCGAGCTGATCGCGCCGCAGCTCGATCAACAGCATGCGCAATATCTGCCGTTTGATCCTTCCCTCCAGTCTGATACTCTGCGACGAATTGTTTAAGAAACGTCGGATATCGTCGTATACCCCACCCTCGGCGACGGCGACGGCAGCGGCGGATGTGGCTTCAACGATCGATATTATCTTCTTATGTTGCCGTCGTTGATCCACAAAGAGCTCAACATCGCACATGTCCGGATAGAAATTCGCCTTCGCCTTGAACTGATCAATCAATTTCTGCTGCTCGTCATGAAATTCACGCAACAGATCCTCGCAGTTGACGAGATTGCGCAACGGTTCCCACGAATTGTACGTAATGTCCCAGTCTTTCCATTTGATTAGATAGGACGGTTCCCCATTCTGTTCGCGCTTCTGCAAGATTCTTTCTACCTCCCAGAGTTCTGTCTTCTTCTTGGACACAAGAGAGGTCTCGTCGGGCGCCACTGCCGGTGATTTATAATGCTTCTCACTGCGCATGATATCATACAACATCACTCGCACCTCCTTCAGTTCAAGACGCGGAATTGTAACGTCCTCCCGCGCGGACAATCTACCATCGGATGACAATTCCTCATAGTCGGATTGTCGGCCATCGCTACCCGGATCCCTCGCGTTCGTACTTTTGCTACGCGTGCGAGAGTTGCTGTGGAACGCTTTGAGCATCTGCTGCGTGATGGGTACTTGCCGCGTTCGCAAGCGTCTCGATGACGATGATAATGATGATAATGAAGATGATGACGATGACGATGATATAGACGACACCAATGAGGAGGAGGAAGAAGTGGAACAGAGCGAGTTTCTGCTGTCCAATCGATGAGACATGTTGTTGCGGCCTTCTGTGTTGAAGAGTCTGAGCATCTTGGCGCACGACGGTGCGTCAGTGCCTCCAGCAGGGGAGAGGTGTCGTTTTTGGCTAACGGCTGACGTTTTGCAATCTACGCTGCTAGGTATACCTGCCGATTCACCGCTGCTACCGCAATCCACCGCGTCTGCAATGCCAAACATTTAAAACAGCGTCATTTCTCGTTCCATCTTTTTTTCCCTTGTTTCTAATTTGAACGATCACTCTCCCCTTTCCGTTCACTTTTCCTTTTCTTATGTTTCGTTTTGTTTTTGTTTCCGTTTTCCTCCTCCTCAACACTCCTTGCGTCTTTTATCTCGGCTTGCCGGACGAGCGATAGCAATGAATAGCACCGGGATGCTTTGTTCATGCCATGAACGAGTGGTACGTAATAATAGTGACAGCGTGTGATTCTAATATCTTCTTAAAAGATATTCGGCTTTTCATCCTACTCGCAGCTTCACGAATTAAAAGAGAGTTAAGTTTCTTTGCGCATTTTTACACAGTATTTTTTTAAAAAGCATACGATAGGTATATCATTTCGGTTTGTATTTTTATAATAGATATCATAAATGCTAACTCTCGGGATACAAGTATCACGCCAGACATCCACCATAAAACCCCCTACTAGATATTTTGTTTTATAAATAAACTCCAAGCGATAATGCATAACGACGTAGAATATACATAAATTTTTAGTAGATATTAACGTAATGTTAATATGATTTCCCACATACCACAGTTTTAATATTAAACGTCGAAGAGATTTATATATATATATGTTTGAATATAGACAAAGTCGTAAAGTGCTAATTAACTTTTAACTTGCAGTATAAAGACTATACTTACCTGTTATTTCATTTTTTTTTTCATATCAAAATTCACATTTTAAAAGATTTAATTAATCAAGATTTAAATCAAATCTTATTAATTTAAATAATCATTCATCATTACTTTAAAAATAACGAATATATGAACAATTTTACCGTATATTATTTTTTTTATCACTAATATTACTAAACACTGTTCAACAGAAAGTAACATTTGAAGGATTTGTTCTATTTAATTTCTTTACTGAGTGAACTACATTCTTATAATTCACTCGGTAAAAAAATTAAATAATTACAAAAATACTTCTCCGTAGAGAGATTCCGAAAGGTACATTTGTGCAAAATTTACTTCAAACCCTCAAAATTAAATGAGGAAAAAGAATTAATATATTCAAGTGTACTCACCAAGTTTAATAGTAATATTCCTCTCTAGTTCATTCTTAAAACGAACAGTCTGCACTCCCGAAATAGCTTTCACAATTGTCGATTTTCCATGCGCTACATGCCCAATAGTGCCTGTAACGAGTTTACACATTTATTTATAACTTATAATGCATATATCAAAATATATATAACCTATACATGTAACTCCAAATACTTGAAAATCTTATACACTTACCAATATTGATTGTAGCCTGTCTACTGATCACTTCAGGCGACAACGCAGTTAATCTACTAACATCCTGCACAAAATAAAAAAAAAGGAACATGAATACTTTTTGATGCAATACTTTAGAACTGATCAAATCAAATTCAAATAATAATAATAAACTAGTAACAAATTTTTCTTGCTTTCTAGAGATACATTGATTCAAAATTCTGAGATCAAGATTAATAAAGAATAAAATAATAAACTTAAGAATAAAATAAAGAATAAAATAATAAAATAATAAACTTGTAACTTCTACGTGTGAGTTTGTAAAAAATCCGTCACTTTCTCATAGAATAAGCATAGAATGTACCCACAAGATACTTTTCATGTTTCACGAGCTAGTAAGATATTCTATTATTATTACGACTTAAATTTTATCCACGGAACTTTCATTAACTCTTCATTAAACTTGAAACGGGCAATATCAACAGAAAAGGAGAAAAAAGTGATTAAGATCGCCATGTGTATAAGAGAATGAATAAAACTATCATCGCGCACCAATCAACAATTAGGTTGCAAACTACAAACATTAAATGCTTATGCATTTGAAAAACTACACAATGTACCCCTCCTACAGCACAGTTTAATTGACGCTAATGAGCATCCAATAACTCCCCCCCCCCTTCATATTTATTTTGTTCTCTCAAAGACTGTGTCCGGGGAGCGCACTATTAGCGCTATTACATCATCCTATCTTTATCGCTCATCAGGTGTAAAACAAGGATAGAATAAGCAAATAGCACTAATATAGCGCGCTCCCCGAATCCAGCCAAAATTCGTAGCTGATTATCTGCGCGACAGCTAGGAGAGCAACATATGCAAAGATCGATCGGCCATCATTTTCCAAATCACAGCATTATCCTCCACGTATGTACACACGGCGAGAAAGTTAATTTTCACGTTGAAGCGATACCAATCTCGTCCGCAACTCGCGCCATTAGGTCTCTTCGCGAGCGACTCCGTGAGACAACACGGGACGTCTCGAGTCCTTCTTTTCTCTCTCTCTCTCTCTCTCTCTCTCTTTCGTCGTAGAGCTAGGGCATCGTGCGAGTTCGATTCGGACGAGGAACCTCGTGCCCGAGGGGCTCGGGGTTCGGCTGTCGCCATGGCGAGTCGGAGCACGCGAGAATCGAAGCGAGGTTAAGTCGCGTCGGGCGGCAGGCGTCCGATGGGCGAATGGCGCGAAGGCCGTCACGACCGTTCGCAACTTACGAGCTTCGACAGGTCCTGCTTGTGGAGATTCGGCTGGCCGGTGGTTACGCCTAGTCCTTCCTCGCTGCCCATCTTCCGCGAGTCTCCCCGATTACGGTATCACTCAGGTCGCCTCTAGTCTAGCAGGACCGTTTCCTTCCGTAGAGTCCGTCTTGAGGTTTTGCCTACGTTTCTCGTAGAACCGGATCGTCTGGTCGACGACGTCGACGTCCTTTAGCTTTAAGCCACGATCAGCCACGATGCGTTCAGATGCGTTGGAACTTGGAACAGCGCCCTGTAGTCAACCGTCACACCGTCGTTCACATCGAGGGGGCCATATGGCAGAAACGTTGCAACGAAGCGGAATCGACCAATCACAGCGGAGAATACTCGATCGCGATTGGTCGATATCATCGTTCGTGCGTTCCGCAAGAGATGCGCTATCGCGGCTATCCTATCCCACGCGAGATTCCGGAATGGAGGATTCACCGCGTCCGGCGTTCGACCGATAAATTCTCCATAACTATAGAGACCTTATAATTAAAAGTCTGGTCATAAGGCGATTTTGTCAAAATTCTACGAGAGAGAATGCACATTCAGTACATTCACTATCGCTTTCCTTTTTTTCTATCTCCTTCTTTGTCTCTTTTCTATCTCTTTCTCTTTTTATTTCTCTCGTGTTTGATAAAATTGGCGGAACAATCAAAACTGGCTGCCTAAGCCTTGTGTCCACGATACTAGAAATCGCTCCGAGATCTTGGACGGAGAAAAAATTGACCAATCACATTTCAACAATTCGCCAATTGACTATTGCGATTGGTTAATTCTTTCTCTGTCCGAGATCTCGGAGCGATTTCTAGCATCGTGGACACAAGGCTTTTTAAAAACCCGGTGTTCACGATGCAAGAACTGTGTCCAAGTTTCGGTTTAAGCCAATGAAACTGCTACTTTTCTGTAAGAGCTGCAAGTTGATTGGCTTAAACCAAAACTCGGACGCAGTTCTAGCATCGTGGACACAATTAAGGCTTTAGCCTTGCTTCCTTGCAAATAAAACACATATTGCATTACTGATAAAAGACAAATGACTTTTAAATATCTTCCTATACTCCTATTTCCATATATTTCCATGAACTAAACAGAAATTGCATAAATTGCAATTCCTGGAAATTAAAATTCAAAAATTTTAGCACAACATTTGAATTAACAACACTCGACAAGAATTTTCAATTCTTGATTTATCAAGGTAAAGAATTTTCAATTTCTGAGTTTATCAACATAAAAAATTTTTAATATGGGATTTAAAAGACTTCTTGGAAGGAAAGGAAAGAAGAAAAGGCTAGAATAAGTAATACTTCATTGCTTCTGTAAAATACTTCTCAATTTTATTTTTCTTATTTTATTTACATCAAGAGGCCTGGTGGATGGCCGGTGGATTAAACGCAGACCGATGGATGGTCGGCCACGATGTAAAAAGACTCCTCTACACTCTTACACTTCCTTTATTTGTTATTATAAATTAGACATCACTGGCTCTACCAAAGAATTGGAATTCGACCAACCGGACCGCTTTTAAATTTCGATGCGGAGTCCAAGACGGGGACTTGTGTCTATTTCTACCAATAAAGATTAATTTTAATCTCGGTTTAACTTAGTTTTTTATCTTTTTCCAATTTTAAGAATTGACCTTTTCCACCAATGCAGAGATCAACTTTATCTTTTTCAAATTCCTAGCTAGAAAAAGGTAAAAAGCAAGTTAAACCAAGATTAAAGTTAATCTGTGTTGATAGAAATGGACATTGTTCACGTATGTCCATTTATAACATAAAAAGTTAAATCAAACTTAAACTTAATGTAAATGAGTAAAAATAGACATTAGAGAAGCTCATTGTGGAAATGGGCTCACGATGATCAAACCTTATTGTTAATTTATATATTACAAACTTTTGTAATTGGATTGATTTATTGAACAACTTGGACATATAAATAACAGATAGACTTATAATATTCTTGATGTTTATCATGCAACTCCGCGGTTGATCGAACATCGTCCAAGTCAATGGGGAACTTTATCCTTCGGCAGCGTAACAGGTTTGTCTCCCCGTTCTTCCTTTTCCAGCAGCGTATTCTCTTTCTATTTGCTGGCACTATAAATTGATAAACTAAATATTCCCAGCGGGACAATCTTACTCCAAAGCGGCGGCGCCGGAGATAATTTCGATCAGTTCCCTGGTGATCACGGCCTGCCGAGTGCGGTTGAACGTGAGAGTGAGTTTGTCGATCATCTCTCCGGCGTTCTTGCTGGCGTTGTCCATGGCCGTCATACGGCTGGACTGCTCGCTGCAGGCGCCTTCCTTCATCGAATAAAACAACAGCGAGGCGAGCGAGAATTCCAGATAGCTCTGTATTACTTCCTCGTCAAGTGAATCGTACACCGACAGCTTCGGTGCGGTAACCACCGCATTCTTATCGAACAACGGTAGATCATCAATCGCGTACGATACCACGGACTTGAATCTGTTGTATACTATGCGTCCAGAGCCGAAGGAATAACTGCGAAAAAGAGTAGCCATTATTTATATTATTTATACAGTGCTGCATCTTTAAAAAGAATATACAACTTATATATCCAAAGAGATGCATAGTTAAGCAACAAAAATTAAGAAAAATTTATAGTGAATAATCTCAGCTAGTTCTATCTAGCCTTAGATTTATGTTTTTGGCAACGCAGCTAACGTACCCACTGTTCATGATCTGTACAGCTATCTTTGCCGCATCGTTGAATGTCGGTGGTTTACGGCCGACCTCAGATGCGACGAAGAGTATGTTGTTCGCGAACAGCCGCTGGAGGATCGCCCGGGACTTATCGCCAATGCATATGATCTTTGTGTTCTCACGTTCCTTAGGATCAGCCAATAATCGATCACGAATATTACGGGATATACCAGAGTGCACAGCGCCGCAGAGACCGCGATCGCTGGTCACGGCAACAATAAGCTTCTTCGGCTCCTCCGGCGGCGCTTGGATCTCAGCCTGCTCGTAGAATATTTTTGTGCCGACGCCGAGGGGACGAGCTTGTTTCAAATCGCGCTCAGCTCGACTGTATTTAGCTGCTGACACCATCTTCATGGACTGAGTAATCTTTTGGATATTCTTGACAGACTTCAAACGCATAGAGATCGCCTTGAGGGTGGCCATCCCCCTCTGCTGCTGCCATTGCTGCTCCTGCGCAGCCAGCCGCAGGATCGTTGACATACGGTTGCTAAGCATTGTTGTCGGCTGCCAGATTCCTACAAATTTAAATTCTCAGGAAACCATTCTATTTCAATTTCACGTTAATACAAGTCTTATAAGTAATTACTAATAAGATACATAATTATGTATCTTGTGTAAGTTTGCAAAATTTAATTCTGCATTATTTATAGGATATTTACTTAATATTCCTTTACAAATAACTTTATGACAGAAATGCAATCATTTGCTATTTTCAATATCGTTCACAGATAATTGAAATGTGTAATGCAATAGACCATCGATACAGTAAGTAGGAACAGTATCAGAATATAAAATATATGACAGAAATTACAAATAACCGAGTCATTCCATACAAGTAGTTTTCAGACAGCAGCTGATGCCCGTTCTAGACTGGAGGATGATCCTACTCGCGGCTCATCCTAGTGAGTAGTGTAGACGGATAAAAATCATTGATTATCTATGATTTTTACCCATCTACACTACTCACTAGGGATGAGCCGCGAGTAGGATCATCCTCCAGTCTAGAACGGGCATAATGCAAGTCACACTTCTGATGATAATGACAAACATAACGAAACGAAAAGGTCTGTTGCATTTGTAGGGGTAGATTTCTCTGACATTTTGCCTGACACAACCTTCCTTGTGTCAAAAATCTTTAATGCTCTCTCGCTCACGAGATGAATCGTAGAACGCACGCTGCGTTGAATCCGTGAATCGAGTCCAAGCTTGAAATTACGGCGATGCGTCAAGCTCGACGGTCAGGAAGCCTCGACAGCTTCGAACGCGGCACAATATCGCTCCGTTTACATAATCGCGGGGTGGACTGGTCCCGGACGTGCGCCCGGGTAAATCCTCGCCGCTCGGGTCGAGCCGAACACGGAGTAGGGGCGAGGTGCATCGCCTCGGGGACGACGCGGGGGAATCGACTCACCAGCCAACTCGGAAAATAAAGCCCACGGATTATCGAGAACCCTCCGCCGATCAGCCTGAGTGGTTCCCGCACACGGACGGAGAGGAGCACCACACACGTAACGCGGCCGCAAGGCAGATTAGGCAGATTCTCAATCGTTTCAATCACGTCATCTGTGGGAGTCGGATAGCACTGACAAGAAATGAAGGTCGACCTCAGCGCGACCTGGGGACGAGGATAGTGTTCCGCTTGTCTTATCAACGTCGATAACAAAGTAACTTATTATTAAAGAAAATAAAAATATAAACAATATTTTTGAAAATAAATTATATAAAATTAATATTATAATAAAAGAACAAAAGTAACATGATTATTAATAACTGTATATTGTAACGTAACGATATCATTTTACAATTTCAACATTCAGCAGATATTCTTGTCGCAATTCTATGTGGATTGATAAATGTTTTAATACTAATTTAATGAATGTCTTTTTAATAAATCTCTTAAAGTATTGTACAGCGAAAATATTCAGAGAGAGAGAGACAGGAGTAACACATATTGCAATTCTTAAATGTACCTCACTCAAGAAACATTCCCAGGGAAAGAAAGAGTTTTCAAGCAATGAACTGGTGCGACAAGTTTTCTGTGGGTAAAACGCTTTTGTTGTCTATCAAGTTAATCCTTTTATGTCTAATTCTATCAACGCAGGTTAATCTTTAATCTTGGTTTAGCTTATCTGTCATCTTTTCCTAGTTCTAAAAGTTAGAAAAAGATAGGAAAGTAAGTTAAAGCGAGATTAAAGTTAATCTACATTGGTAAAAATGGGCATTTTTTTAGTCCGATACATTTACACGTGAACTATATGCATTCGCCCGGCGAGAAAGGGCGCAATTTAATACAGATCGAGCGGCGGAGTTGGCTCGAACACGTCCTCACGCTTTTCGCCGGCAAACAACCGACGGGTTCGCTCTTCGTTCATCAGTTGGACGCGCCGACCTCTCTTTATTTTCATCACGCATTCGTACATGTCCTCGAGTATCAATCTGCACTTCTCCTTGCCCCTGTGATAGCCGTATGCCTCCATGCAATCCATGTACTGCACCTCATAGGGTGCGCACTCTTTGACGCACTGAAGATTGCGTATATGGAGGAAGAGATCTGTAAAGGGTCCCTTCAACAACGGCGCGCCGTATCTCATGTAAACGATATTATCGTGGTTTATCATGATGTACCTGAAAAAGCACAGCGTTTAAGATTTCCAATGATAACATACAATATTTCACTTATATTTCAAACAGCGCAATTCTTGTTATAAACAGGCATTCTTCGAGATCATGAGAAGCTCGACACAACGATCCTCAAAATATAAAGCCCCGATCCAACGTGCTTTTCCGCCAGAATAATTTCGAACTCTGATTAATTTAATTAGCAATTAATTCAAATAGAAGAGATGCTTGAAACAATATTTCCAACTATATAATTTTTCATCCAATCTTTCCTTAATCCAATCTTTCTTATAACAACAAACGTTAAACAACAAAAATTGATAATTCTGTCCATGTTAACAATAGCATAGGTGTAAGTTAATTACCAATTAAGTTAATCAACGTTTGGCCAAAATCGGTCTAACTATATAACCGTGATTGTTGATTTATGGATAACATCAAAGAAAATCTCTGTAGATACCATTGTTATATGGCAAACTCATCGCAATTTATTCGCATTGCAAAAATACGGATTCGATAAAAGAAATATTTTCATGAGAAGGTATAACCCTAACCCCAAAAAATCACATGTACGCATAATAAAACTTCTAATCGCGCACGTAGAAACGAGAGGAACTGTACGATGATACGTACCGGTGATAATCAATACTCCGATTTTTGTAATTATTATATACGCTCTTGATTACTCGAAGAAATCTCGAAAACAACCTTCCTACGTCTGTTTTTACGTAATCGGTGAATGTCAAGCTAGGTTATGCGGGTTGAGATTTGAGATATTTTTATGGCAGCGGGAAAATCAAAATTGTCATCGCAATAAAAGTTATCCCAGATTTTGCAGAAAAACTGCAACAGCAGTTTATCCTTTCATTTCATTAAATTATTTCCAATTTAGACATTGATGGTTGTCAAAAATTCATAATTTGAACTAATTAGAATAGGCAATGAAGAAATATAAACGTGGCAAATGTATAGAAACTATAACGTATCGTTTATGACAGAAATTCATTTAAGGAGCTGAAAAAAATCTCGAAGGAGAATATGAAGTAATTTGTCTCTGGAAAAATAAGCTAATACATACGAATAACATGTTATTATGTTTAACAAATCTCTTAATATATTTCTACCCTGTTAATGTACAATTGTTCTCGTTGCGTTACCTTGTGCGCAAGATCTCGAAGCAAATATTTCTATTCACAATAAAAAGTCACTGATTTTCTCTCTCATACTCTTGAAAGCTATTCTTTGTTGAACGGCGAACAATAACGGCGCCGGCAAGGTGCGTAAAATCTCTGAGCTTCGAAATATCCGTCTGCAACTGTAACAGAGATATCTCCAAACGTCTTCCGCGGTTATTTGTCTCTTCATATCGTTCTTACAACCACACTCGCCACTGTCGTTACAGCATTCTTCGTTATCCAACCGCGAAACGAGGCAATTCGATTCTCCGTTTTCTCGATTACTTGGAGAACTTGCATTAACGGATTTGGAAGACACCAGTTTGGAAACCTCAATTGCTCTCATGGCAGTCACTTCATTGCCAGAAGACACGTAGTCCAATCTCGCTTCACAGAGCGCACAATTATCCTCTGTACTTTGCTGAACGTTGTTCTTTGGGCTTATTTTATCGGCTGTACGGAATACAGTGGATATCGTGCCGGAGAATTGAGATTCCAGCCCCGTCGTAAAATTCCGCGCTAATCCCTGTATGGAAGTTGCCGGTACGCTTGGGGATTCCGTTGATTTAACAGAATTTATCTCGTGGTGCTCCGAATAGTACACCAATTCCTGCTGTGCGAAGTCTCTCATCGGTTTGAGTATCTTGATGTCGGCACACCGAGCGTCGCAGAAGTTTGCCTGGGTGGAGAGTTGCGCGCCTCGTCCTAGGCACACGTCTCCGAGCACCTTCGCGGCGATGTCCACCGCGGAGTCGGCCACAAATATCTTGTTGCAATGAAGTTTTCGAGCTGCCGACAGGAGCAGCCTACGACGTAGCTGATTGGCAAGATCCGTCCTTGAGGTATCGTCCGATAAACTGGCCAATATCGCGCGCAGCCGATTATCATTTTCACAGTTTATCTCTTTGTCCATCGGTTTTATGTCCAAGGTATCCTCTTCGTTTAAAACCTGACTCATTGATACGGCATAACCGTCAAATCCAGAAGCCTTTGTTTCCTCAGTGATTCTGTGTCGCAGCATGTCCCTTTCCTCACTTGTTCTTTCCACAGTGCTGTCTGTTTGGATATTAAAATCTTTCTCAATTACAAAATTCCATGTGACAAAAACTTATTGACTTACGAGACTTACCGTCTATATACAAAACTACTGTCTTGAAGATGAGTCTCTTGTGAGCAGATTCACTCATGCCAGCTTTAATGAGATGTAAGAGCACGGTGGAGTTTAATTCTCCTGAGTGATCGACCAGTATCGAATCGCCATGGCGAATAATCTTAGATTTACCAAGCGCCGCTCTGAACTTGTGATTCGTAACAATCAGGAAACAAGTCTTGCAATAACCGCTTTGGCCGATTAATAAAACGTCAGCGTTCTCATATTTGCATTTTCTGCATAGTGTCACATCTCTGTTGCAAAAAATAAGTATTATTACCATTAATATAATATATATCTTATTAGATTATTTTATAATAATAATAATAGAATGTAAATTTTGGAATGATCTTGGCTGCATTCCGATATTCACTGTCAGCAACTTTCAGTACTGAAAATCTATAGTATACGTGACGTAAAATATAGATTTGCAGTACTGACAGTGAATATCGGAATGCAGCCCTTATTATATCCTTTTTCTTTTATTTCATATAAGTAAAGTGTACTTACGCCAGTGAATCTTTCCCTTTGTTTTTAGTTATTTCATCATCGTTATCATCAAACCTGCAATCATTTACCGAACACATCTCCCCTTTTGCGACTTGTCAAACAAATTGTATAATTTGCAATTGTATTTTACAATCAGACGTTACGAAATATTTACAATAATTAATCACAGATTGAGTGTCTCTAGAGCTTGCGAAAACATCTTCGTACACCTGATTTTAGGTTAGAATGCAGCGTGTATGTGATCACGTGGCTACGTCAATTACGGCTGCGGTCCACTTGACGCTGCTTGACGCTACAAATGCTTTGGAGCGTTCTTCTTCTCCTTCTTTCTTCATTGAAAGAAAAGAGAGGAGGAATCCCAGGTAGGAAGCACATGTCATTTTGACGTCGAAAGACGTCATATTTTCGACTTCGTAATCTTCGTATCCCATTGTTTTTCTGTTACTTCATATTTCTTTTCAGAATTTCAACAGTTCAACACAGTAACAAGAAGACTTCTCCAATCATACCATTTATTAGTCAAATTGTCACATTGTCATTGTCAAGGCAGGCATGTGCCTTCATCTCTGAAGAAGAAGAAGAAGCACAGATATAATAGTTTCAAAGTCTAAAAATTGTACTAACGAAATTTGGAAAACAACCATATACAAATATAATCGAAAAAGGGTAAGTAAAAAGTCAAAAAGTTTCAGAGAGGTAACTTTTATAATATTTATTAAATTTATTTAATTAAAAATAAAATGTAAACTGAGTGTTCGCCTTATATATGAAGGTTAAAAGTCTCTTATCCGCATTTTATTGTTAATAAACTCCTTGTAATTATACCGTCTGTTATTCTTTTTCGAAGAATTTCCTGAACTGATACATATTGGTACAATAAAATTAGAGTGAAACAAACTATACTTGTCTCACTCAACTTAATTGCACTAATATTCACCAATTTAGAAAGTTCTTCGAAAAAGAACAAACCTATAGATAGTTTTAACTTGTATGTACTTGCATTTAGATTTAAGATTTATATTTATTTATTGTTTTATTATGATATATAGAACGCTCAATGCGGTTGGATTTGATATTGGCGTGGTGGAGTCGTGGACGTGGACTGGCATGGACAATTAGCTACTCGTCAAATTATAGTAGACGCATTAATTTATTATCTACTAAAACACCACAAAGATATATATAAAAATACCATTCTACGTGTAAATATGGTTTCCAATACAATGTATAAAGTCACGTAAAAGTATCGCGTCAAATCGGCGGCGGTCGGTGAAAACTTTCCATTAGAGTACCTCGAAAATTCTGTCATGTCGTTCGAGTGTAAATAATTCAGAAATTAATGTTGCGTGGAAAGTTTGAGATAAATACGACTCCAGATGAGACTCTCTCTCTCGGATTACATTAGCTGAAAAACATGTTAAAAATATGATACCACGCAAATTGAATTTAAAGTTCCTTCTTTGTTATGTTTTGCCTCACTTTGCCTCTTGAAAATATTTCTATGTCGTAAGTTTAATTTTTTATCTTTTGAAAATTATGCCAGATCGCGACTTCAGTTGGAGGCGGAGATCGACGGTGCCACCGTAAAGTTATGCTACGTCGCAGACGAATTCTCGGTCTTGTGGTTCTTGCCAGCCGCCAAACGTCCTTTCGATTTCTTGCGCAACGGCAATCGTCAAATGGTCACAACCCGGATTTGCGACAATCTGCAAAAACAACGAGATCAAGAACGAAGTCAAAACTACAGTTAAATGTAAATTGATAATCGATTCTTGGACAGACAGACTCGGCGATTGCAAATTCAAAATTAATGAATTCAAAATTATAATGATCTGGATACAGCGCAGTAATGATCGATGAAATGATGAAAGAGGAACATTCTACCTATTTTGTATCCTTATATATTATCGTTAATTAATTATTTTCTTAGTTTTGATTGCGTAATTGTCGAGCTGTCAAGTTTTGATTGCGTAATCTCGCAATCTACAAACGAAGCTATTAGTCCGCTAATTTGCATTTTTTTGTTTACTTGAACTCCAATCGGTAGTTGGTTTTTGTCGAGACCAAGCGGACACTGTGTAACCGGAAATCCCAGCACGTTGAAGATTATCATGTAAGTGTAATTGGATATGTTGTATGCACACTCGTGAGGATAATGCGCCGACGAGGTAAAAGATGGGCAAATTAAAACGCCGTTATCACCCAGTAACTCCTAATCGAATACCATTCAACATTGTTTTAATATTAATATAAATCACTATATTAATATATCATACAGACAAAAAGTTCAGAAAATACTATATATGTATATAGAACTTTACCTCAAATTGCTTTTTCAATCGCATCCTTATCTCCATCATTTTTTTATGATTGGAGACCGATGTTCTTTCAACAATGCTCTTGCCTATCCCATAACAAATAGCGGGAAAAGTGTGCGACGACATGAAGAAAATAAACTTTAGTGCTTCTGTGAGCACCCTCTTCGATTTCTGAGAAATTTTGAAATGTGTATTCATTTACTGCGACACATCTTAAAAATATCTCATTATTTAACTGTACCTTAGGATCATCCCATCGATTAAACATCGAATATACATCACTGATCTTGAAAAGAATGATCAAGCCTAATTCAAAAGACTGTTTCATATCTTCCAAATTTGTCTGCAAATAATAAAAAATATTATGCTTGTCTACAAATACATCAATACTGTTATCTTTTAAATATTTGATTTTAATTCCTTAAAATTTTTAAATACAACATGGGCTTTAAATTCATATGTGCCCCGATATCACCATTACATAATTTTTTAACAATTATGTAATATACGATATGTTGTATTATTGTACGTAAACATATTTTACATACTGTATAAGTCATTTTTAATTAATTACTGGAAAGAAGATTAAATCATTGCTTCATGCTACATAATACTACATGCTCAAAAAAGTAGTGTTTGTATTTGAACGTAATAATTTAATCTTCTTTTATAATAAATTAAAAGTAAATTACATAATGTAAAGACCTTTGAACGCCTGACTTACTTTTTGCACTTGGACATGACTAGTGTCTTCGAGGTGCCTCATCAGTTTGCAAATTGCATCTTTCACGTCAGTTGTCAAAGAACTTGGGACCGGGCCGTAATCATCCATGTAAAAAAACTTTATGTCCTTTAGGCATACCTATACGAATATGCAACTTTGATTTACATGATTGAACCTTGCTTAAATAAGCATAATAAAATAATATATCTATCCATATTAATTTTATTCATCATTTATATTAATTTTTTTACATTTTTTTAGTACCTTATATTTCATTAAAATTTTATAAGAAACCGATAGAAGCATGATTAACCCCTGGTTATTGTGGACACATTTCCGCGCGTCATGACGCGCGTCAAACGTGCATTTCCATAAATTACCCCAATCACATGCGTGCTTTTTTTAAAACGCGCGCATTTGACGCGCAATTTTTCGCACGGCAACGCATCCACGGAAACTAGGAGTAAGAATTAGCATGAAGCAGATGATTAAAATAACAAATTCTGACCTTTTTGTTAAAGGTATTTCTAGCTTCATCCGATTGCGACATTACTGATAACAAGAGAGGCAGATCCGTGGCATATCTAACCATTGAACCGATCGCGAAAAATGAAGGCCAATTTTTATCATTTGCACTAGGTTTGTGACCTTCTACTGATATCCAGTCTAAGGGAGAAAATATATAAAATTGTTCTACCTGTTGTTTATTAGTTTCTACAGTTTTATAAACAAGTATACAAGAGGAAAATTTTCGTTATTTCATTGTTCTCTTTTTTTTTATTGATTGTCCGATGAAACTTACTTGGTGTGGGTTTATGGCCAAAAACGCCGCAAAACATTGCCGGCAGCCTGGCCGATCCACCAATATCCGAAACCAAGCTCAAGATCGAGGCGCCAGAACCGACAAGAGCAGCCTGATTAAATACAACAATTTCTATTTTTTATAAAATTCCATTATGTATTATTTTAATAAGAATCTTTAATTTCTATGGGTTTTAGGAGAAAAAGGAACTCTGGCGTCTACGTAAAAAAAGACAATATACAAACCTCGCCACCGGAAGAGCCACCCGCAGTCCTCCGTGTATCGTAAGGATTCCTAGTGGTGCCAGTTATTTTGTTGGAGGTGTGCCACCACATGCACAATTCCGGAGTGTTGCTGACGAGAAGAGGAATTCCACCAGCCTCGCGGATCCTCGCTACAACATCGGCGTCTTTTGTCGCCCTCGAGGGAGTATCTTTCATCGCCACGGTATGACTCATCCCTAAATATAGATAAATTTTTATTTTAATTGTGTATTACTTATATGCCATAAGCTATATACGCTATAAAATTATTCTACATATATTGCATCCAGATAATATATTTTTGTTATGTACTTGCAGAAATTATACAGAGTACGATGTCTTCGAGACGGAAAGTGAATAGCGTATTATCCCTTGGAAAATTTTACATCGATTTTTGTTCGATAAAATTTTCGACATTCAGTAAGTATAAGCAGTTTGAATTAAAATTAATTCGCAGTTTGCCATGGCATGCGTGTATTTTCAAATAATATTTACAGAATGCCTGACTATATGATCTTGAGTCCAGAGATCTCTGCGATTACTTGCGATTTTATGTTGATTTAAATATGCCAATATACCACTTATTTGAACATACATAGTACTCAGTATATGAAATGGTAAATCGATGTCTATTGCGCTAACATACTACTTCTAAGAAAAATTCTCAGCGAGTTATAACACTTCTGTCATGAGTTTATTGGTGGGAAAATAATTTCGTTAAACCGTGCGAATTACTACATAGTAGTATGTGCAAACGATGAGTTGTCTAAAGTGACTTAAAGAGAGAAAAAGATGAGAAGATATTAATATGCAAGGAAAACATCAAAAACCTAGTGACCTTGATACCTTATGCGGTTTTAATAACAAGTTGATATTTAAAAAACTTCTCCTACATTTGAATATGCATTATATTTAAATATAAATGTATCTTAAATGTGATAAACATTAATTATTTCTCTTTAAAAAAAGATTCTAATAATGCGTGTTTCCGACAATTCTATTGAACATATATTCGAGAAGTTGCGCAAGTGATTAACGTAAATATGGACTATAGTTTTAATCACGCGAATATCAGGCATGAAATGCCTGATGAATTCCATGCCCTTGCTATTTACCATTTAAAATTTTGTTGTATAAGTTAATGTTTCCCAAGTTAAAATGTTATGTAAGAGTATACATATTAACAATAAAAACAAGATACATACGCTCGATAATAGCAAAGCTAAGAAAGGTTAAAAATTCGAGCAAAGAAATTTTAGATGTTAGTAAAATTGAAATTTAATAAACATAACATTTACGTTTCGACGGTATTTTTCAGAACGTTCTAATCGATAAAATTACATTAATAAATTACGCAAAATAGATATAAAAGATTGAGAGAGACAATGGCTGTTGGTCAAATAAAAAAAATCGCATACAATAAAAGAGTTATAACAATTTTTGTCGTTGGACAAGCGCGTTAGAACGTTATGAAGAAGACCAAGTAGGTCGAAACGTAAATGTTATATATACATGTTTATTAAATTTTAATTTTAAATTAACATCTAAAATTTCTTTGCTCGAATTTTGGCCGTTCAACCTTCCTTAGCTATACATATTAAATTTAACTAAAATGAGTAAATATATATGGAGGGGTAAAAATTAGAGTGGTGTAAGTCAAATTTTTTAAAATATTTTTTCGTGTGCATAGATGCAATCTGTACAATATATAAATTGCATCTATGCACACGAGAAAATATTTAAAAAAATTTGACTTATACCACTCTGGTTTTTACCTCTCCATATTCAGAATGTGACTTACCTTGAACAGCGATACTTTCTTTAATCGTCACAGGTAGCCCGAGCAGCGGTCTCTCGCTCGCGATTTTCGCCTCGTCTATAGTTGTTGACTGCAGAAATTTGTCAATTTCACGTGCCTCTTGAATCGCCACATCGAAACGATCTTCTACGATAGCGTTGATCGATGGATTCACCTCCTTGCATCGCTTCACGTATGCGATAATCACTTTCTCGGAACTGATCTGCCGATAATTGAGAGGATATAACATTGAATAACTTTCGTTTGATTCGACTTAATATTATTTCAAGTGCGTATCCTACATTGATTTGGCAATAATATTGCCTAAAAATCGTTTCAACAGAATGACGTAAATTTACCTCTTTTTTGCGGATTTTCCGCGCAATTTCAGTCGCCGACAGCAGCAAAATTCGATCCTCGATCGGCGGGCATCGCCGTCTCTTCCTCAAACCTCGCAGTTTGAAGAATGGGCCGAGCAAACAACGGAGAAGAAATAAGCCGTACTTCACTATTGTTCTCACTATTATCGCTTGGACCTTCGGTATGAAATGATATGTGTTCTAACAATTTCTTAAGCATATCTTTAAGAAATGGAATCTGAAGTGAATATATGTAGAGTTTTACCATAATGCTGATAACGCTTATCACGTTTTTCTCTACAAGTTGAGAGGGTCAGTTTCGCAGTTTTGAGATTAGTCACGTTGATATGCAATCCATACAGCTTAAAGATTTCGATTGTTCTAGATAAAGATTGAAAGTTATAACTTTCATTAAATATTGTTATCGTATATCATCTTATATTATTAATTTAAACTCACTGAATTGACCAAACGGAGATCACTGTAGAAGATGTTTAATGATGACAATGGAAACTCCATAACGCGTTGTATTACGTTATTGCGATTTATTACGGTTGATTGTTTTTAATTAATCCATCAATCCCATTGACAGTACGCTTACATTAGTTACAGGAGACACGTGATGCAAAAACTGAAATTACGAAAGCATTATGTTTAATTTAACTCGAAGTTTTCGAAGTTGCCATCAACAGAAGAATTTTCTTTTTTAAGGAAACTTTCTCGATAATTAACCGAAAAAAAATAAGATCGAGATATTCAAAATGTTGTCACAATATTTTAATGAGTACAATATATCTAACTGACACGATTTTGATATAAAAGGCAAATACCTCTAAATCAACTTTTCCGATCGGGAACGATCGCTATATACAGAATATCGCCGTAAAAATACATACGTCTCGTCATTTGTTCACAGAACTTTACTGGAAGCGTAGGCAATGGAAGTACATGTGAAATACATTGCTTAATTTAACGTCAATGTGAAATATCGCGAAATATCGTCACTGAGGGAAACTGTTCATTACACAGAGCCGATTTTACGATTTTAATTTTATGAAGAATGTTAGTCATTGTCGTTTATGTTAATTTCACACAGATGTCTGACGCAATACTTTGTGGACACTTCCTCGAGGTTTTAGGTCGTATCCCGCGCACGGTTCGCCATTGAAAACAGCAACGAAGTGCGAGACGAGAATTTTAAAAGACCCACCCTACCTCCTTTCTTCGCACCAACATTCATACGCAATAAGACGACGTATACCGGTTGTCTCAAACGGGTTATCTCAAACATGACGTAGATTTTTGGCTAACTCCTTTTTTAATTGATTATGAATATTATTTCCGAAAATATCCAATGTTATATTATTGAACAAGATACAATAGTAGAGATTTGTTGCTAATGGAAATTAATTCGTCAATAAAAATTAATTTGGATCTAAATCAAGCATTTTATCGCTATTTATTATAAACGAGAAAAAGATTGTTGCTGACAAAAAGAATTTAGTTCTACGCGGCGATTTGTTAGAAATTATGTAATAGAACTTCGTGAGTTTACCTACATACATGCTAGTATTGATAGAATACCCAGTGAGGAATGACCCGTCAAATCGACGTCTATAGACGTCTATAGACTATAGACGTCAATTCGACGGGTCATTTCTCACTGGGTAGTTATGACAATAAGTTATGCGCGCGTGTGTGTAAAAGAAAATTAATTTAACTGTATAACACTCAAATGTGGGAATTGTCGTTGAGTTTGCAAATCGACTCAAGTTTCGGGAGTTATTATTTCACATGAACGTTATATTAAAAAATTCACGTTTTATATAATTTGTTTCTTGCAAATTATATTTAAGTTTTCTTCTTTAAAAAAGTTTTTTAGGGATTTAAATTTGAAATGAGTTATATTTTGCTTTATTATATAAATTTATTATATACATTTTTTTCATGCACGAAAAGTAATGATGAGAAATTACTTTTATTGGAAAGAAAGTACTTTTATTTGAATTGATTAAAATTACATAATTATTATTAATATCGTATTGTGTAACATGTATCAAATAAATATTTGCTTATCCTAATTACTATTATCTTATTTACGAAGTATCAATTACAAAACAAGTAGATTCTGATCAAGTTCATTGCAAAAGAACCGCATTCAAGATGTAAATCATATGCTATATGATGATTTGATATCAAACTGCGTTAAAACACATGTGTCAAAACTGATTAGAATTGTTTAATCTTGATTAAACTCAATTCTCATATTAATAATATATTACACTTCTTATAAATATAATATGCTAATATCATCGTGCATCTTAAAATTATAATCTAGAAAAGAGATAGAGCAAATTGTTAATCTGGTTGTTGCAATTGAAGGATTTAGCGCCACGATCTTTTTATTTAAAAACTTTAAGGGAGTTAATTTAAATTTGAAATAAAATTAAAATATTATAATTTTATATTATACGCATTGGTATGATAGAACACATCTGCAACTTTTATATTTTCTCTGAATCTATGCAAAATATAAAAATTTACACATAAAATAACGTTTGTACATTAGTAACTATAAATAAGAAAATTGAGATAAATTCTAATTATCTAATATTAATTTTTACGAATTTGCAGGAAAGCGTGTCGGATCATTACGTACTGTAGGAGACAATCTTGATAAGATACACAGAATTCGAGGCGACTAATCCAGTAGCATCCGTTGCAGGCCACGATCGTTCACGACTGATTCGCATCGATACGCACGAAAGGAAGCAACCGGCATCAAGCGAACTTAAAAAAGTGGGACGAATGCCGAAGTACGTTCCATCATTCTCGATGACGCGCGTTTCCTACAAATACTCTGTATTTTTGTTATCCGTGACTTTTTTTCTTAGTACTCACTGTTGAAGCTCCTGTGGTCCATTCACTTATGCCTGATTAGAGGACTTTATATATTTGACTATTTACGTCAAAGTCTTTTCCTCGAAGTTGAATAAATTTAATAATTATAGTCGAAAAAAGTAATCGATATGTAGATGGACCTGATCCTAATATCTTGTTATTGAATATTAATCAATGTGATTCAAATAACTGATATCTCGAAAACATATGTAACAATAGTGGACTTTGCTTTCTGCGAACGTATATGTATATAGTATGTGTTTTGGCCGTTGGTCGACTCGACAATCAAGATACCGTAATATTTGGAGAAGAGAAATCTGTATGAAATGAAAAGTGGCACACGAATTCAGAACGCTCGAAAAATCATTGAGAAAGAGAAAGTATGGATGTGATAACATTTTAATAATTTTTTTATCTAAATACTTTTTCCGATTTTTGCAAGTAAAATCATGTTTTATTAAGAAAATGGATTTATACAGAGTATTTTGAAATTACTGGGAGAAACTGAACCGGCTAATAGAATCTACAAAAATAAACAAGTCTTAGGTAATCATAGAGAGAGAGATCCGTAAATTAAACGTTTTTAATTTTTTATTTTATAAGTCAAGTTATTTGTACGATATGTCATATGGTAAATATATCTCAGAGCTTAAAATATCAACAATTTCTATATCTAAAAATTCGCAGAATAAACAACTGAATATCTCAGAAAGGATCACTTTGCAG